CGCAATTATCAAAAGGAACTAAGATCTTAGTGTGCAACGGTGATATATTCACACGTTTTTTTTTTAAATCAGATAAAAATTGTGACCTCTACAGGGACCACAAGCTAAAAACGTGATTTTTTGTACAATCAAGGGCCATAATTAAGGCTGGGAATCGATATGAAATTTCAATATCGATTATCGGCAAGAATTTGTCAGCGATTATCGATAATAATCGATTATCATTTTTCCGGAAAAATCCGAACTTTACCGATCTGTTATTTGTGTTGGTCGACACAGGCTACCACTATTTTGTTGTATTTGTTCTTCAACAGTCATGTTTAATAATAGTATTGTATAATAAAAATATTCCAAAACATCTTCAGTCTTTATTTCTGTTTATTTAAACACATTATATTTATTAATATTATTATACAATCTGTCAATACTCAATCGTAATAAAAAAACAAACAAAAGTAAATTGAAGTTATTTATCTTCATTACTAGAGTCCATGAAGGTAGATAACTGTTACATTTATTAGGTTACATTAGTCGGTTCCGTAAAAACCAAAACAATTCAATACCTCGCTTTTTGCCTTTCCCGGGAAAGAAGGGAGATAATTCTAATTTTACTATATATCACGTGCGATTGTCATTGTTCACAAAGTGTGTGACCTATTTTAGTTTCAACTAGTAATAACAACAAAAACAACGAAAATATTAAAATAATGTACTTAATCTTAAAGTTTAGTTTTTTACAATAATATATATTTAAAATGTGCCAGTTTGTAAGCAGAGGGGGAAAATAGTTGTTGTGTTGACGTTGTGTATTCATTCATTCGTCTGCTAATGCCAGACTACGGCAAGTTCAGTCATGTGAAAGTGACCGTAACTTGCCGTCAGAAGGTAAATATACCGATAATCGAAATTTGAATTTCAATATCAATTATCATATCGCTAAATAACTTCTACTGATTATCGATTGTATCGATATTTTTGCACAGCCTTAGCCATAATACAGGAAGTTACGATCCGATATGCGCGAATATCGAAAGGAATCAAGATCTTTGGGTTATCAACGCGATATTTCGTACAATCAGGGTCGCCATAATTCAGGAAGTTATGATCTGATATTCGCGAATATCGAAAGGAACCAAGATCTTTGGGTTATAAACATGCATTTCAAGTTTCATCAAAATTGGATCAAAATTGTGACCTCTAGAGTGTCCAGGGGCCATAATCCATGAAGTTATGGTTCGATACATGCCAATATCAAAAGAAACCGAGATCTTTCGGAGATAGACCTATACTTCAAGTTTTGTCAAAATCAGATAAAAATCGTGACATGTAGAGTGTCCACAAACAAATTGTGGACGGAAAATGTGGGTGTATAAAAATAGTGAAAAATCTACATTAACAGGCTTGTAAACACAAGAGGCCATAGTTTGTTGAATTCGTCTTCTATTTCTGAAATTAATTCATTTCTGGATAGTCTGACTCATGGTTAAATTTTTGGTATTTGAATATTTCAAAATTTCGCAATTCACCTTTGACATCTTTTTGCACCGACAAAATTGTTTACGAGTGAAAAATTCCCATTAACTCTTTGTAAATAATCGAAATAGGCCGCCGTTTCCTGAATTCGTCTCCTGTTTCTGAAATTAATACATTTCTGGTTAGCCTCCTTCCAAGAATGGAATATATTTTATATAACATTTCTGGCCTAAAGAGAGAGAGAGAGAGAGAAATGGGGTTTAACGTCCACTCGACACAGACTAGGTCATTTCGGGACTAAAATATGGTTTAATTTTATTTCAATAATTTGCTTGCGCATAGGGGTCTTTAGCAGTGGGAGGAAACAAGAGGACCCGGAGAAAACCCACGAGGTTGGACAGGCGACCCTACTCCTTGTCACGTACAACCGGGGATTCAAAACCACGCCAGTCGACTCAATGACAGACTTTATGATACAGTGCACGCACGCTAACCATTCAGCCATCCAACCCCCCCTGGCCTAAAGAAAAACCTGCAATAAGCAGATTTAGCTCTTATAACTACTAGATTTCACTTCAATATATGTTACTTCCTGTAAGTTAAGGGTAAGTGGTATTCAAAGGCAATGTTAAGTATAAAATTTTCACTTAAGTTAAGCTAAGCTAAGCTAAGCTGCCTTAACTGTTAAGTGTTTAGTCTTTTAGCTGTATTCGAAGGCCAGGTTAAGTGAGAAAAATCAACTTAACTTTTGCTGGGTGTAGCTGGCCTCAAACTTTATTTTTCATCATCAGCTTTGATGCTGTAGTGCCATAATAGTGTATAAGGTTACTACCACCGAGATGGTCACAAATATATTTATTTCCAATCATTTTTATCAATTTCGTATTGCTTAATCATTTTTACCACGACTGTCTTATAATAAAGTTTAATGCTAAAATTCATTTGTAAAATTTGACACTGTGTTGACATTCCATTGTAGTTTTCGACAAACATTTATACTGCCCTAAGAAACAAGGCATGATTTACTTTTTACAATCTATTCCCATAGACATATTTGAAGTTATCTGTGAATTGGCAGAAGTAGTGTTTGCAAGATGTTCTTGTCTTCGTTTCTGTATAAATATACAAATATATATAATGATTTCTGGACGCAGGGTGCCACCAATGTTTAAAGTTTTACAATTGATTTCTTGTATTACTTATTGCATTTTAATAGGTAGTATTTAGTCAGGTAGAAAATAACGTCATGTGCATCTTTCGTACCAGAGCCACAAACCAGACTGGAACAACATCCTAACCCTAGCATTCCATAAACACCAGAAGAAGAAGAGAAAAATTATAGAAGCTAACCAAATGATGACATGATAAAGATGGAGAAACGACAATAATATTAATTTGTTAATTCACAATATAGTCAAGGACATAGTTAACCATCCTGATGTAATTACAGGGCTTTATTTTTAGTTTTGTAAATTAATCAGTTAATTACCTTCATGTCCTTCTTTGTGCTGTTTACCTTATTAGTTATTTTTGTGTTAACGATATTAAGTTACCAATTGAACCAATCGCCCTGTATTGAAACAACCAAAGTCTTATGGTTTCCTTTTTTTAACATATAAATATTACCTTTTAGTTCACTATTATCATTTGTGCTTGATATCGTTCTATATGTGTACACACCAGTGATTGCTTTTCCATATAAATTGTGTTGTCTTTTTTTTAATGTGCTCAATCGCTAAATGCCACTCAAGGATCATTTTCGTACACACAATGTACCATCAATGCCGCAAGGCGTTTGGGATACTGAAGTGTAGGCACAGACTGAACTTCTATGAATTTCTCAAATGATAAACAATTCAGCCTAACTTTAAAGCCAAAAGGCCTTGCGTATAATTGCTAAGATGTTGTTTTATATTCGTTATACATTTTTAAAATAATAATGTTTACAATATCCGCCATTATACTACCACTATTCTATAAAAATTTTCGAAAACAACAGGATGCGTACACCGGACTATTATAATTTATACTCATACTATTTTCATATATTTTGATAAACATTTTCCTAGTAATCACAACTATATGATTTTAATAGAGTATAGTGCATTCTGCACACAGACAACTATCTTCTTCGAGAAAATCCCCAAAATAGTATACTATTTTGTAATGTGGTTATACTTCGTTTCACATCTGTTGTACACACAAAGAAAAAAAACCCCTTTTCAATCATATTAAATTGAAGAGGAATAAATGTTTCTCAAAATTATCGAAGTACAGTATTATTTGTATTAAGCAGCCACTCACATGATTTTTCATGACCAACAGCTTAAAGGGAGTGACCTCTTAATAAAATCTCAGTGTTTGTTAGTGCTAATATTAAGTAAATTTTACGTTTGAATGAATTGGGAGCAAACATCAGTAAATTTGACGGTCGCTGAAATTTGCTTGGAATGAAAATCCTTTAACTCAAATCCCTGATATAACTTCTGTAAACGTTTCATTTTGTACCAACATTGATGCTACTGTCTACCATTGTGATGTATTTGATAATATTTATCCATTTTTGAGAAGAAAATCCATGAATTAATTTATCTTATCAAAAAGGAACATGTCCAAAAAAGCATCGCTGAATTTGTCACTGATTTTCAGGGGCTGTAACTCTATATACAATATAGTAAGCGCTAAAACTTCTGTTCAGCAACAAAGTGGCAATGGAAAGACGGTAGATTTAGTTTATTGAATCATTATCACATAATGTTTTGTTAAGTGTGAAAACAATGATCGGGGTTTGTCATTTAATAAACCAGTTCTTTTTATCTGATCGGTGGCGGGCCTGATAATTAACTATTAATCAAGGGATTAGCGGAGGTGTTACGAAGCTGAAACTTGAAACGACAAGATGGTACATGTATCATTCAACAATGGCCGTTGAATAATGCTATTTGCTAAAATAATGCTATTTTATTAGTAAAATAGTGAGGAGTGACCGCTTATTAATAGAATATAATTTCTACAGGGGGGCGGGGGGAATTTATCCTGATCCCTTTCAAGGAGATGTCGCTGAATAGGAGTGGTTGCTCGTACAGATTCTACTGTATACTTAAGAGTTTTCGACTAAAATCGTCCATTTAGGAATTAAAATGTCGGCCAACTAGCTTAGTGTCTGTTCTCAAGTGGGAGCTAATTGTAGACAAACACTAGTTTAATATGAGTACAGTGGTGCTCTTAAGGGGACATAACATGCATGCTAAGATAGAAATTTGTGATTTTTGGCAGTGGCAGGTATTCCGTAAGTTAGAAATCAATCCTTTTTGGCAAATGTGGGTTTAATCAACTAAAATTTCTCCACATTACTGATGTTTGATACATGTAGTTGGTAAATATTTAACCCTTCAAGTGAAATTATGTTAAGTTAGTTAAAAATATATATAAAAAAAAAAAATTATATGATGGACAGACAGACAAAGAATTGGCAAGATGAACTGAAAATCTGATAAAAAACAAATAGATGTGACATAATATACTACCTTCTGTAATGCTGAATCTATTCTCCATATTCTTAAACTCTGATCACGTGACCATGTTACAAGCTGATAATCAACTTCATCTGAGAAAAATAAACTTTTTACAGTCAACATTAAAGACCAAGAGAAGCAGAAATAAAGATTATTTGTAAGAGGAACTTTTAAAATCTTTAAAATATTTGTAAAGCTAACGTTGTCAAACAATGAAACATACGTTCAAGGCAACATATCAACCACATTTGATTGAAATCTATCAAATAACTTTGAAGAAGTTGGAAATGTGTAAAAATTCAACATTTTTCCTGTTTTGGATGTCCCCACCCTGCCCATATTGGACCGATCTGTATCGTGTTCACAAGATTTCCTAAGTGAGAATATAAATGGGGGAATAACTCTGAATTCAATACTATTCATCCATTATTCATCACAAGCTTTAAAAGTCAAAATATCAAAAAACAAGGTTTATGTAATATATGTGTAATATATTGAAACATTGACAAAATAAAATCATTATGTATTTTATATTACAGGAACTTAGATAGGAATTTCAGGCAGAGGTCCGTGCTTATAACAAACCTCAATCCCAAAATAAATAGACGTCACTCATGAATTAGTTGCTCATTGATCTGTTAATAATGTATCTAGCAATGAAACAGTTTATCCCTCTGCATAACCCCAGAAGTCACAGTATGGATATAACGAAACTATATACGCCCCCTCTCAAACATGAGAGGAGTTATTGTTTCTAAAGTCTCATCCGATCAAATTGATTATCTCTGGTTAGCCTGAGCAGAAAATGCTCATTATCAAAGTCAGTCAACATTCATTCAATGATTATCTACACCAAGTTTGAACATTACAGTAATTATTAACTCACCAGGAGATTGTTTACGCCATTGAAAGTCTAAAACTACATCTTTATGTCCCATAAAGGCATGGACAGGTTGATTATGATTCTCTAAACTCCACAGATAGAGACTGTTTTCTCCTCGTCTTAACTGTGGTACTACTCCAGTCACTAAACCATCACCAAACGGCTGAAATTATGTACAACACGCCAACAGTGAGGCTGTCCCCAACCAAAATCCCGAAATAAATAGATGACACATATTAATTAATCGCACATTTATTTTTTCAAAAGTATCAAACAATCAAACTGATTATCAACTATACATTAAGTTTCATCACTCTCTATCAAAGAATCGACCAATGAAATTGCTTAGCTCAGTCATTGAACTCAGTCAAGACATTCACCTAATGAACATCTACATCATGTTTAAACATTCTACCTCAATTAAAAGCAGAGTTGTTATGTTCCAAAGTCGTGACCAATCAAATTGCATATCGCTCCTTAGCCTAAGCAGAAAATTCTCATCATCGAACTTATGATAATGATATGATGAATCTATATGCAGAGTTTCATCACTCTCACTTAATTATAACCAAAGTTATCGTGCCCCAAAGCATCAACCAATCAGATTGCTTATCTCTGCTTACCGTAAGCAGACAATGTTTATCACCGAACTTCATCAAGGCATTCACCTAATAACGCCTACACCAAGTTTAAACATTCTACTTCAATTAGAAGGAGAGTTATTGTGCTCCAAAGTCTCGACCAATCAAATTGCTTAATGCTTTGCCTACCCTGAGCAAAAAATGCTCATTATCGAACTTAGTCAAGGTATTGATGTGATAAAACTATACACCAAGTTTCCTCACTCTGACTTAATTTGAACTGAAGTTATCACATCCCAAAGCATCAACCAATCAAATTGCTTATCTCTGCTTACCCTAAGCAGAAAATGCTCATCTTCGAACTCCATCAAGGCATTGACCTAATAAACACCTACACCAAGTCTGAACATTCTAGCTCAATTAGAAAGAGAGTTATTGTGTTCCAAAGTCACGGCCAATCAAATTGCTTACCGCTCTGCTTACCCTGAGCAGAAAATGCTCATTATCGAACTTAGTCAAGGTATTAAATTATTGAAACCATACACCAAGTTTCATCACTCTCACATAATTATAACTAAAGTTATCATGTCCCAAAGCATCAACCAATCAAATTGCTTATCTCTGCTTACCCTTAGCAGAACATTCTCATCTTCAAACTCCATCAAGGCATTGACCTAATAAACACCTACGCCATGTGTGAACAGTCTTGCTCAATTAGAATGAGAGTTATTGTGTAACAAAAAGTGTGACGGACGGAAGAACCCATTTTAATAGTCCCCTGCTTTCTTTGAAAGGTGGGGAACAATAACAAAAATTCTATATGTGAATAAATTCATATTCATAACCTCAAATGTGGTCTTATTATGAAATCAAGGACTAATCTCCACAGAATGTAACTCGCTAAAAAAACAATAACCAAACAATGCAGTAAAAAAATATAAAATTACCAAATATGACCAGAGTCCATGCGTAGGCCTACTTAGATTTTGTTATATGAACATATTAATAATTTCTCTAAATGTTGAAATCCCCCCAGTAAATTGCTAGAAATTGTCTAGGCTGCCACTTTACAGTGCTCCTGAACAGCCCTGGAAATTACACAAGTCTATTGTGACAGCATCTCTCAATTTCAAAAGGTTGCCTGCTCCTAATGAAACTCCTAAACCAGATTGCTCGTAACTTATTTGACATGAGTAAGCTTTTCCCAAGTGGCTAATATATATATTTATTCAGTAAACATAAAACTCACTGTATATCTTGCTCTCCAAACTGGCACATCTTTTAAACTGATCATTCCTTCTGAACGCTGATGATTTTTCCAATTCCAAATCTAACAAAAACAGTAAAAATTATTTTTCTCAATATAATAAATGAAATAAAGAAAAGCTTACAACTGGAGTTTTGTCTACCACAGATTGTAAAGTATGATGAATTCTAGTATGTTCAGTTTACATGAGGCATTCATTAGCAATGCCAATTATTTATATAAAGTATATAAAATTATTTCAAAAGTCAGGACAATAACTTTGGATATACTTTGTGTGCCTCAATCCAAAAAAATAAACTAAAACATCTTCATACTCATAGGGTGTAAAATGTCATTTATTAATCATAAAACAAATAAATGACTGTAACAAAATTACAACAAGCCAAATAAATAGATGAAACATATTAATTAATCGCACATTTATTTTTTTCAAAAGTATCAATGAAATTGCTTAGCTCAGTCATTGAACTCAGTCAAGACATTCACCTAATGAACATCTACATCAAGTTTAAACATTCTACCTCAATTAAAAGCAGAGTTGTTATGTTCCAAAGTCGTGACCAATCAAATTGCATATCGCTCCTTAGACTAAGCAGAAAATTCTCATCATCGAACTTATGATAATGATATGATGAATCTATGTGCAGAGTTTCATCATTCTCACTCTCTATCAGATAGAATCAAAGTTATCTTGTCCCAAAGCTTAGCTTTAGCTCGAAATGTTAATCATTGAACTCAGTCAAGACATTCACCTAATGAACATCTACATCAAATTTAAACATTCTACATCAATTAAAAGCAGAGTTGTTATGTTTCAATGTCTTGACCAATCAAATTACTTATCACTCCTTAACCTAAGCAGAAAATTCTCATCCTCGAACTTAGTCAAGGTAATGATAAAATGAATCTATACTCAGAGTGTCCTCACTCTCACTTAATTAGAATTAATGCAGGGGACAATAAAACATTTATCAAAATGAGCATTATAAATCAGCAATAATTAAAATACATCTCCCACCTCCCTTTACCTATGAATCATGCTGGGCTAAATGAGAGCCCTCATTTATCCAAAGCTGGAACACAGTACATAATATGATGACTAGACCAACAATTCTTCAAAATTAGATCAAAATCAGTTCAGAAGTCTAAGTTAGTCACTAAAAGTCACTAAACTACCAGATTTCACTTAAATTGTTAAATATATGAAACTATTTGTAAGTTAAGGGTAACAAAGTCTTTGAATACTGATTTAAGATAACACACTGAACCAAGTGAGAAAATTTAGTATTTTCACTTAAAGGAGCTAAATAGCTAACATTTGGGACCTAGAAATTGACAAAAGTGGGTCTCAACGCATATAATACTGTAATATGAATGTATATAAACTGATTTACATTCAATGGTTTCCGTTTTTACTCCAATTTCAAATCAGTTATGTTCGGCGAAACATAAAGCCAACAGTCTCAAGCGAGTGCAAATTTCTAGCGTCTGGTTATTCCAGTCTACATACGCCGTTTGATTTGGTGCAATGTGTCTAGCCTCGTCCCTCGAATCTCTTGATAGAACTGGGGCTGAAGCGCATTATGGTACACGATTCGTGTACCAATGGTAAAATGTTTATTTTGTCTTAAATAAAGGATATCAAAAGCCCATATTTTTCCAGTAAGATCACAACATGAATGTTGATTTAATTTGACAAATAAATCGGGTTTTCAATGTTGAAGATTTTGGATGATATTGAGTTAGAGACTTAGCTACTTTAAACATACATTATGCAAGAGCTAAATCTGCCAATTACAGGTCTTTCTTTAGGCCTAAAATGTTATCTAAATTATTAATTAGATATTAAGTAACTTATCCAGACCATAATCAAGTCTTGATGTCATTGCTAGCCTGTGATATTTACTGGATTAGAATCTATCTGCTGCTCAACGCTCATTGATGATTAAATCAAAAGATAGGTTGCCTGGCAACTAAACATACGCCCACAGCAGCTAAATCGTCCGAGCGGTCGACAAGAGTTGTCGTATATTTGTTCTTTTGTAGGTAATAAGGGGGCATTTAATAGACAATTTCATACAGATGACATTATAATTTTCGTCGTTTGAGGGTTCACAAGGTTCTAAAAACTAAAACAAGGGCTGTAACTCTGGAACTTAAGTAATCTACAGAAATTGTTGAAATTCGACAAACTTTTTGGTTTTACTAATTCAAATAATACATATCAATTTCATACAGATCAGATGATAACTTTTGTCGTTCGAACGTTCACAAGGTTCAACAAAGTAAAACAAGGGCCATAACTCTAGAAGTAATTGTCAGAAATTGCTGACATTCAATAGGCTTCTTCATTTTACTAATTTAAATGATGCATATGAATTTCATACAGATTGGGGGATAACTTTTGTCGTTCAAGCATCCACAAGATTCAACAATGTGAAACAAGGGCCATAACTCTAGATCTAATTAACGGAAATTTGCTGAAACTCAATAGGCTTGTTTGTTTTACTAATTTAAACGATACCTATAAATTTCATACAGATCGGATAATAACTTTTGTCGTTAAAGCATTCACAAGGTACAACAAAGTGAAAAAAGGGCCATTACTCACAGTGTAATTAACGGAAATTGTTGAAATTCAATAGGCATCTTCGTTGCACTAATTTAAATGATGCATATCAATTTCAAACAGATCGGATGATAACTGTTGTCATAAGAGCGTTCAAAAGATTCAACAAAGTGAAACAAGGGACATAACTCTAGACGTAATTAACGGAAATTGCTGAAATTCAATAAGGTTCTTTGTTTTACTAATCTAAATGATGCATAAAAATTTCTTACAGATCAGATAATAACTTTTGTCGTTAGAGCATAAACAAGGTACAACAAAGTGAAACAAGGGCCATAACTCACAGCGTAATTAAAGGAAATTGCTGAAATTCAATAGGATTCTTCGTTTCACTAATTTAAATGATGCATGTCAATTTCAAACAGATCGGATGATAACTGTTGTCATTAGAGCGTTCACAAGATTCAACAAAGTGAAACAAGGGCCATAACTCTAGATGTAATTAACGGAAATTGCTGAAATTCAATAGGCTTCTTTTTTTACTAATTTAAATGATGCATATACATTTCATACAGATCGGTTGATAACTTTTGTTGTTACAGTGTTCACAAGAAGCAACAAAGTGAAACAAGGGCCATAACTCTAGATGTAATTAACGGAAATTGCTGAAATTCAATAAGCTTCTTTGTTTTACTAATCTAAATGATGCATATAAATTTCATACAGATCGTATAATAACTTTTGTCGTTAGAGCATTCACAAGGTACAACAAAGTGAAACAAGGGCCATAACTCACAACGTAATTAACGGAAATTGCTCAAATTCAGTAGGCTTCTTCGTTTCACTAATTTAAATGATGCATATCAATTTCAAACAGATCGGATGATAATGGTTGTCATAAGAGCGTTCACAAAAATCAACAAAGTGAAACAAGGGCCATAACTCTAGATGTAATTAACAGAAATTGCTGAAATTCAATAGGCTTCTTTGTTTTACTAATTTAAATGATGCATATAAATTTCATACAGATCGGTTGATAACTTTTGTCATTAGAGCGTTCACAAGGTGCAACAAAGTGAAACAAGGGCCATAACTCCAGACGAAATTAACGGAAGTTATTGAAATAAAATAGGCTTCTTCATCTCACTAATGCAAACAACATATATATATCAATTTCAAAACAATCAGATGATAAATGTAGTCTGTAGAGTGTTCACAAGAAATTGTGGACGACGGACGGACTGACAGACGGGACTAGATAATCGAGACTATGTTTTTTATCGTACCAACTTTAGTAATGATGATCGAGGCTAAGCTTAAAATTCAATCGCTAAATACTTGGTTGCAAGTGGCTAAATTTGACTGAAATTTTCAGCAAATCCCCTTTACATTATCTAGTTGTTAACTATTATAGTGAGAACTGCCAGCTCTTTATGTAATCTCCCATAAGGTATCTTTAACTTTAAGAAAGCCTTTGAATACAGAGTACAGTAGAGTAATGTATGTTGAATCACTAAATCAGGGGGAAATAATTTCAGAACTAGACTTTCACAAAAACACTCAAAATAAATGTGATACATCTGCTTAATTCTAACTGTATAAATATCACTATCAGGAAATTTAATGAATCTGTAGAAACTACATTTATGATAATATTAACATTTATCAATACACTCAGGGGCCATAACTTATCGGAAATCGTTGAAAGTCAATAGGATTCTCCGTCTCATGACCTTATAATTAGTGCTGATATCAAGTAAAATTTTACGCATCGATGCATCGGACGCAAACATAGATTCTCGTATCGATGCATCGGGAATTTTTTGCCGCCATTTTGTTAATCAAAAATTACAGAAATAACATTAGTATTTCTGATAGAAACATGAATTTCCCTAACATTATCATTAGGCCTACTATAGAAATGTCGATTTATTTGAATAAATTTATTTCCACAATATTCTTCTGTTATTTATTATGACATTAATATCGTCCGATTCACTTCAATTGACACTCGTTACTGTTAGCCATTGTTCAAATTTGTTGTGAAGGCGTGAAGGGTGAGGTGATTACAAGAGACAGCGTTTGCATTATTTATACGGATCGTATCAAAGTCTGTCTATAGGGGTTCATGAAGTATATTCTCTATTGCCCGTGGCAGAAAATAAGACTGAATCGTTTTAAAACTAGCGTTCAGAACCATCCGAGAAATATTATCCTTCTGACAGTTCGTTTGGTCATTTAAATGAACCGTGAAATTGAACTTGGGGTTAAAGGACATGATAGCCAGGGGACGTAACCAGCAAACGCAGTCTTTGTAGTCACTGGAAAATGGAGACAAACATAACGGAAGCGTAGGGTAAACAGGTCAAGCCTTATAATTTGTGCGGGATTCATTGAATTGTTCCGTTATTGTTTTATTTTGAATTATATAAAACACGCAGAAAAACGTATTTAAAAGGTGTTTTTTTATTCTAGTGGACGAACTTGTGAACTCCCCGGAGTCCTCGGACACATAAAGCTAATTATTAGTATTTTTTGGCGATGCATCGATAATACAAAAAAGTACTGAGAATCGAATCGGCGTCAGCTGAATCAATGCATTGGCGATGCATCGATACTTGATATCAGCACTATGTATAATAAATTTAAAGTCAATCGGATGTTAACTTTAGCCTCTAGAGCATCCACAAGATATTTCAAAGTGATCAAGGGCCATAACTCTGGCAGTAATTATCGGAAATCTTCGTCTCATAACCTTAAACACTGTGTGTTATTAACTTTAGCCTATAGAGCATCCACAAGATATTGTGGACTCCGGACGGATGGACAGGTGCGACAACAATATACTACCACATTTCAATGTGGGCATATAAAAAACGATAAGTTTTCCTGGGAATTCTATTAGTACATGCTAAAAAGAGATATCGATAATCCCCTCCATGAATCAAAAGTAGAGGTTATAAGCTACATTTTGACACCAAAAACGTAAATTATCAACTCAAAGTATTTTTAAAATCTTTGATTATTTGCCTTCAAATGAGATTTTGTGTTTTCCGGTAAATTCTTTGAATACTTCTACAACAAGTTTTAAAATACAACAATTCAGATGTAAAAAGTAAATATTTACTTCAGTGCACTACTCTGCTGCTCTCAAAAATGGTGGTCTTCGACCATCAAAAAATCAAATTCATCCATGATCCAGTCGCGATAGATGGTAGACCTGGATAATCGCATCTTTGAGGGAATTTCTTCTGACATCATATATTGATAGATGTCAATGATCCAGTGTGAAACTACTGCTGGAGGCGGCCATGATTGTTTACTGCGGATGACGTGAACGGTGTGTACAACGTCAAAATTTATTCAAGAACTGATCTAGGTCGAGGAAACCTTCTAGTTCGCTATAAATAGTTTTTTTTCTTTCTGCTTGTATCTCCATTACTACACAACAAATAGTCAAACTGTTATGTGTCCTCTGGGTTATTTTACACATGGAACAAGTGTGCAAAGTCTTAATAAGATTGGTGTTGAAAAGTTAGTGCATATACTATACAACTCAACGTCCTTAATCAATCACGACTATTATCAATGACAATCGAGATTAATAATATTTCTTCCCTCAGTACAGTAAATATTTTTCGGAATTTTGATGCCTAATTGAGCATATTCCAGGTCGGACGTTTGCCAGCTTGCCTAGGACATGTCCGGCATATATGGGCGAAACAACATCCATGCTGTGGGGTGAGTATGAATACATTTATTAACAACAGTATTAGTCAGGGTCCATAACAGTGATGGGATTTCGTCCGTATATTCCGGACATGTTCGAGGCTATTTTCCAAAATTGTCCAACCAGGAATATGCTCAATCGGACATCAAGATATGGTGAACAATATTCAAAATTCCAAAATTAATATAGTGTACTGAGTGTATAACTACCACTCGACCCGACTATCGTTGATGATAGGCTGGATTGATTAGGTAATTAAGTGATCAAACGTATTCATCGTGTTATATCGTCTATACACCTACCTTCATTAACTACGTAATCTGCCATGATTGACTGACTTAATCCTTTATCGGACCATTCATCAATCTAATCTTAAACAGAAGTCATTGCTTTCCCCTTGTCGGACTATTCATCAATCCAATAAGTATGTGATCATAATTTAATCTAAGTGTTTACCTCGTGGTTTCACCAGTGTCAGACATTTTAATCACAGCATGTACCAAAGGACAGTATGTATAAACTAGTCATAGATGTCACATATCGTAAGAGTAGATAACACCCCAAATCAATGGACAGTCATTTTGTCTGCGATATCTTTTAGGTCCGTTAACACTCCATATAGAAATTCTCATCCACAGTGGAACTTTCCCGCGATTTCGATTGCCGCACGAAAATTGATTACCATTTAAGGCAGTGCTTTTGAAGCTATGTGCTATGAGTCATGTACGCCATACACTGAAGTTATAAGAAAATAGTGTTTTGACGTATAAACACAGACACGTAATTTTGAAGGAATATTACTGTTTTGAATTTGATGTCAAAGCAGGATCGGCAAGCTTTCATTCAATTCATTCAATGTATTACGAAAATGCGTAATTTTTGTAGGAATGTTATTGACATAAATTTGAATGTCGTACGGGAATTGTCCATAAATATGTCCTTCAACAAAATATATGGATCTTTATGTTTCAAGTAAGCATAAATGACAATATATCACACCATAAACTAGTAGAGTGATTACATTGAGTTGGCCAGACACACAATAAATCCTTGTTATGAATATGTATTTTCACTTACACTTTAGTCACTATCCTGCTTTTCGTAGCCTTATCTCCGATTGTTTACATTTGTCTGGATGATTGAGTCATGCAGAAACATTAAGTGTACCTATTTATATTTTCTATGTACTGTGGTGTCTTACATTGCAGCAACATTTGACAAATATTTCTTAGCATTACCAAAGAATTCAACTTCAAATTAAGTACTTTTCAATGGTGTCAAGAATGGACCAGCGGCTGCCAGACAGGATACGCCCACATTTTCGAGAGATGGATAGAGAACAAGCTAAAAATAAAGTGATTTTTCCTACAATCAAGGGCCATAATTCAGAAAATTACAATTCAATATGCGCAAATATCGAAAGGAACCGAGAGCTTTGGGTTATAAACTTACATTTCAAGTTTCAACAAAATTGGATAAAAATTATAACCTCTATAGGGTCCAAAACCTTGATATACCATATTTTTACTCTGTTTGAGAACGAATGGGGGCCATTTTGTCTGTCAGTTTTTTACGCTATTTGAGAACGAAGGGTGGCCATTTTGTCTGTCAGTTTTGGGACGATTTTCACAAAATTCGAACTCAACCAGCCTTAGGGTGTAACGGTGATATAATAATACGTTTTTTTAAATCGGATAAAAATTATGACCTCTATAGGGTCCACAAGCTAAAAATGCGATTTTTCGTACAATCAGGGAACACAATTCAGGAAGTTACGGTCCAATATGCGTGAATTTCAGGAACCAAGATCTTTGGGTTATAAACTTACATTTCAAGTTTCAACAAAATCGGATAAAAATTGTGACCTCTATATAGGGTCCACAACCTTAATATTCCATATTTATACGCTATTTGAGAACGAAGGGCGGCCATTTTGTCTGTCAGTTTTGGGCCGTTTTTCACGAAATTCGAACTCAGCCGTCCTTAGAGTGTAACGGTGATATAACAATACGATTGTTTAAATCGGATAAAAATTATGACCTCTAATAGGGTCCACAAGCTAAAAACGCAATTTTTCGTACAATCAGGGGCCATAATTGAGGAATGTACGGTCCGATATACGCGAATATCAAAAGGAACCGAGATCTTTGGGTTATAAACTTACATTTCAAGTTTCAACAAAATCGGATAAAAATTGTGACCTCTATAGGGTCCACAAGCTAAAAATGGATTTTTCGTACAAACAGGGGCCATAATCCATGAAGTTTTGATCCGATACATGCCAATATCGAAAGCAGCCGAGATCTTTTGGAGATAAACCTATATTTCAAGTTTCGTCAAAATCGGATAAGAATTGTGATCTCTACAGTGTCCACAAACAAATTGTGGACGGACGGATGTCCAGACGTCCAGACGGACATAGGCGACGGCATAATACGTCCACATGAAAATGTGGGCGTATAAAAAGTGTGACCTCTATAGGGTCCACAACCTTGATATACCATATTTTTACGCTATTTGAGAATGACGGGCAGCCATTTTGTTAGAAATTCGAACTCAGTCGTCCTTAGGGTGTAACGGTGATATAATAATACGTTTTTTTAAATCGGATAAAAATCATGACCTCTATAAGGTCCACAAGCTAAAAACGTGATTTTTCGTACAATCAGGGGCCATAATTCAGGAAGTTACGTTCCGATATGCGCGGATATCAAAAGGAACCGAGACCTTTGGGTTACAAGCATACATTTCAAGTTTAAACCAAATCGGATAAAAATTATGACCTGTACAGTGTTCACAAGCTAAAAATGTGATTTTTTGTACAATAAGGGGCCATAATCCATGAAGTTACTATGAACATCTTACCCTGACACTGCAATCTTGACTAGCTGTGACTAGATGATCCTGACTAGATGGACTCCAATCTAACCCATGTATTTTAGATAAGTGAGCAGCTATATAAGTTAATGGCATATTTCCTTTCTAAAAATATATGAAAACCTTGATTAAATTATCTTTATAAGTGAAAATAACTAAAATTTACTTGTCAGCCCTGACAAGTGGCTACTCTTCAGCAAAATTCCAACTGCTAATGTGTACATTAGTAGACCCTACTTGTCAGCCATGAGGACACTACCCCTGACACGTGGGAACTGGTTTTAAAAAAAGTCGGAGATTCTTTTCAGCAAGTGCTAGGAATATCACATGGGACATTCTTATTGCTCCATATTGTGAACTAATGACTAAACCAGAGCAGTACAAAATCTATGTATTGAAGCATGCGAGACAATATAAGGTAAATTCGGTAAGGTGAATTGGTTATTAAACCAGATCAGTAAAAAATCTAAAAGGAGTAACAGATCATACCCTTGGATCCCATACTCTCAAATCGCCTTCATGTGTGGTAGCAAACTGGTTATTTGTAACTTTATTCCATTTTACTTGGTAAGCTCCAGCTAAAACAGTTCAAATATACAAGCTCTATAAGTAATTTTATTTTGAGCATAAACATTTGCATGGAAACATAATTAAATGCATCTAATTTATATTCAACATTCCAATCCTGAATTACTTTAGAACTGATGTGTTGGAAACCCTAAAAGATATGACATGTTCACAAATCCTACCACTATCAAGTTATACCATTTGCATTAACAATCAGATTCAGATTAAAGTATACCATTAGATCTACATGTAAATGTTGTGTCTTTTGTCTGTCAGTTTTGGGCCGATTTTCACGAAATTCAAGCTCAGTCGTCCTTAGGGTCTAACGGTAATATAATAATGCGTTTTTTTAAATCGGATAAAAATTATGACCTCTATGGGGTCCACAAGCTAAAATCGTGATTTTTTGTACAATTAGGGGCCATAATTCAGGAAGTTACGGTCCGATATGCGTGAATATCAAAAGGAACCGAGATCTTTGGGTTATAACTTACATTTCAAGTTTCAACAAAATCGGATAAAAATTGTGACCTCTATAGGGTCCACAACCTTGATATACCATATTTTTACGCTATTTGAGAACGAGGGGCGGCCATTTGTCTGTCAGTTTTGGGCCGATTTTCACGAAATTCGAACTCAGCTGTCCTTATGGTGTAACGGTGATATATTAATACGTTTTTTTAGATCGGATAAATAATATGACCTCTATAGGGTCCACAAGCTAAAAACGTGATTTTTCGTACAATCATGGGCCATAATCCATGAATTTTCGATCCGATACATGCCAATATCGAAAGCAGCCAAGATCTTTTGGGGATAAACCTATATTTCAAGTTTCGTCAAAATCGGATAAGAATTGTGACCTGTAGAGAGTCCACAAAGAATTGTGGACGGATGGACAGACAGACAAACGTCCGGACGGACAGGGGCGACAGCATAATACGTCCACATGAAAATGTGGGCGTATAAAAAACTTTCGAATATATCACCGTTACACCGTAATTTTGATTGAGTTCGGATTTTAAAAACCATTTAAATATATTAACATTCCACCATAATGAATGTTGAATTCGAATTTCGGGAAAATCGAAATGAAACTACCCGACAAAATGTCCGCTCTTTGTACGCAAATTGTGTAAAAGTATGCAATACGAAGGTTGTGGACCCTCTAGAGGTCACAATTTTTATCTCATTTTGATGAAACTTAAAACATATCTTTACATCCCAAAGATCTCAGTCCCTTTTGATATTTGCATTTCAGTCCATTACTTTCTGGATTATTGTCCCTGATTGTACAAAAAAACCTGTCTGTTTTTAGCTTGTTCTCTATCCATCTCTTGCAAAATGTGGGCGTATCATGCCTGGCAGCCGCTGGTTATACATTCGATAGCCTCTACTCAGGGCCCTACCCCATATAGATGAACTTTGATTGGATGACGAAGACCATTATATTTAACTTTTGTTTTTTTCTGTAACACTCTATACTCTATAGGCGTCTTCAAGAGCTGTCAGAAGATTTCATGAAGAAAACAAGGGCCACAACCCATGAAGTTATTAGCAGAAATTGGGCATATATAAAAATGGTAATAAATAAATATGATTTTAAGGGGAATTACTTACCTACTGTCTGGAAAGAAGCTATAGGTTTCTTTGGTTCTCTACAAACATAATTCAACACAAATTACAGAATCATAATACATAGAATTAAGAAATTACACCTGGGTTTCTCGACATATGTCAATACTGAATACCCAATAATATGTCATGCTGCAAGGGAGATTATTAATTTATACAACATTATTTACATATAGTTTCTTTGAATAGTAGACAATGTAAACCTAGATGTTAAGTTGCTGTTATCATTGTATCATATTGGTTGTCACATATTTTATATTTTGGATAAGAAAATCAAGATTTGTAACTTTTAAGTGACAGAATTAGTAAAATCAAACTTCAGAATGCAGCATTGTAGATCTATTATTTATAGAACTAAACTCATCTGGATATCTTTACAGAAACACTGATAAATTAAATGTATACCTGATGTCCCATAAATAAGAAAATGTATCTACTGAACAAGATGCTACAATATTTACATCAAATGGTGACCAATCCACATCACTGTAAATCAAACATAATGGAGGTAATTATTGTTATTGGAGCATATTCAAAATGGAATGAGTCAGAAGACGTTTATTTCATTACAAAATTATTTGCTAGACAAACACAAAATTAACCAGATATCTGTGCATGCTTTCTATAAAACTAGCATAGGACCTGATGTGAACTAAATCTGCCACGGTTGACAACAATTAAATATTCTTAATGGCATACACATTAATCTCAAATTAAGTTTCTTTACCTAACAGTCCTTGAGTGAGCTTTTAAATTACATTTATGTTCAGCTGTGCCATCCCTCCATGTGTATACATCTAATCTTTGATTAGACTGAAAAAAAAATACAAACATACACCGACAGCAGCTAAGTCATCTGGGTTGTCACATATTTTTTTCTTTTGTAAGTAATGGCAACATTTACAACACACTAAAATCTGATTAACAACCTCTACAGTATCCACAAGATTTTTCAATGTGATCAAGGGACATAACTCTGGCAGTAGTTATCGGAAATCGTTGAAAATCTATAGGATTTTTCTTCTCATGATCTTAAACACTGTGTATAAATTTAAAGTCTATTGGATATTAACTTTAGCCCGTAGAGTGTCCACAAGCAATTGTGGCCGCAGGACAGCCGCCTGGACCGACAGACGGGGGTGACGATAATATACAATTAAGTAAGGCAATGCATTTCAGGGATTGGCTGTACAGTACAGTAACATGACAATTTTCTGCACAATCAAGACCATTAATTGTTATGTGAGACAGTGAAAGAACATCAGTTTGAAAACAAACATTCATAAAAAGAACAGACTTCTAGTCACAAGATAATAAATATTGAGAAAAACAGAAACAGCAGTCTGTGTATCTCCTAGTTCCGATTAATTCCCTACTTACACTTTAAAGTTTAAACGATAATAATAGTTTAATTTCAGTATGAATATATATAAATATCACTCTCAGAACAAGATGCTGTTTCTAGGCTGGTGCATGTCCTCAACATTGAGCATTTGCCTTATGACATTAGTTTTTCCATTAGGTTTAGGCTAAATGATATTAAACAGCATTAAATAAATTTTGAAAAAAGTTAAAGTGTCTCATCACTTTTGAATTAGCCTCCAAATGATCTCCAGTACCACATGCCCAAGCATTTTGTTGATTCAGACAAATGCTCTTGTTTTGCAAGCTTGTTTTGTAAACTTGTGATCATTGAAACCTTGGACCATATTTGTATTACTGGATATTTTAGCACCAGAATGAACAGCATTAGGTCATGGTAAACTAATTCAAATCATTATTATAGATGAAACAAACTGGGGATCTGGAAGGAAAATTTACCTGATCAGACAGCTGAGCATTGATGAAAATATCATCTTACATGCTACTTAGCTTGTTTCAAGGATTGACTAATGTATAGGCCCTTCATGCTAGTGATTCAAGGCAAGAAATTCTAAAAGACTGGGACCAGACTGGTATTGGTTGACACTAGTCATTTGTTGAAACAGTAATACACATTAGGCAGTTGAAATCAATGGTGTCCATTAGAACATAATAAGAGATTAGCGACACTTATAGTTAAACTAAAATTTTCCAGAAAAGTCAATGAAAACAATCGAACTTACAGCAGTAACAAATATAGGGGCATGTGAAGCATGAGGATTCCATTGTACACAACTGATTTCCCATTTACTCTTCCTGGCTACCTTTATAACATTATCTGTGTTATTCAAATTAACCAATGCCAAGGCTTTTCTTCTGCAATTAAAGATACATTAGTTAAGAGTTTAATAAAGAGTTGGTCATTCTTGCTATAATAATTCAAAAATAGATGATAAATTAGAATATTGAAAATTTCATTCAAATTACGTCATTCTGAGCCAAATTATCACTGTTTGTAGTTTTGACAAGATGTGTGCATAGTGGTAACCAGGGTACTGGTATATTCGAGACTTAGCCTCGCTTTCTCATTTTTAAATTTAATTTTTAAATGTCGAACCGTTGTAATCTAGTTAAAATCTTCAGTATCCTATGCCATCGAGAGTTGATTATGGTCTTATTTTGTTAATAAATGTCTAATTAATAGTTTATACAGCATTTCAGGCCCAAAGAAAGACCTGCAATAGGCAGATTTAGCTCTTGCATAATGTATGTTTAAAAGTGAACAAAAAAATCGAGAACAAAAAAAAAGATATTGTAAGATAAATCATCAAAGACCACAGCTCTCATTTCGGTCAATGTAGCTATATGTATTCAATGGCTTGCTGACATTGTAAATGTGAAATCAATCTGTCAGTCAATTTGCATACCAGAAAATTTATGTAATTAACTTGATTAGTTTAAAGTTTAATTGCTGTACATTAAAAAGATAGGTTGCCAGGGAACAAAACAAACACCCACAGCAGCAAAATCGTCTGGGCAGTCAACAAGTGTTGTCGCATATTTTTACTTTTGTTGGTAATGAAACGTTTATAATACCGGTACACTAAAATCTGATTAAGAGTAACAACTCATTAAGCAATTATCAGAAAATCATTAGAATTTGTTTGGCCCATGCTACCATTTAGTATACAAAACATTTAATATCATGGATTTAGCTGGTCGAGTTATCAAAAATCATTGAAAATCAATATACTTGTTCATCTCAAGACCTTATACTCTGTGTATCAATCTAAAGTCAATCGAAACGATTATATATAGGCATAATTATCAGAAAATTATTAGAATTTGTTTGGCGCATGCCAACATTTAGTATACAAAACATTTAATATCATGGATTTAGCTGGTCAAGTTATCAAAAAATCATTGAAAATCATTAAACTCTGTACAAAGTGTTCAAGGGCCATAACTCTGGCAGTAATTATGGGAAATCGTTGATAATCAATAGGCTTCTTCGTCTCATGACCTTTAACATTGAATCGGATATTAACTTAAGCCTCTAGAGCGTCCACAAGCAATTGTGGACACCGGACCACGGGACGGGGTCAAAGACAATATATGACCACATTTCAATGTGGGTGTATAAAAATAGAATATACTAGCCTGTACTTCATAAGCATTTTCTTTGTTTTCACATATATATACATAATTCTTAAAAATAACTTATAAAGTTGCGAGGAGACAGAAAGATCATCAATTATATCTCTTACCCAGCTAATAAAGCCCATTGTCCTACACAATCCACACCCATTGCACTGGCCTGTAAGTATACATAAATTAGTAAATGAAAAATATGACATACTCAAAATAAGGAAAGGCGGAGTGTGGAAAAATGTGGGGAGGTTGATGAATATATAACCGGGCAGTGGTATTTGTTTATAAATTGGAGTCACATGGCACTAAGTTAGAAGTATGGGTAGCTATAATAAATATGATAAAAAGATAGGTTGCCAGGCAATGAAACATCACAGCAGCAGATCATAAATGTTGTCACAATTGTGGATAATTGGATATTTTACAAAACAATAACCAGACCACAACTCTAGAAGTAATTTGTTTACAAGAGCATCGCTATCGCTGCAATATACGTCCACATTCCTGCTTTGATAGATATGGTACTTTTTAAGATAGGTTGGCAGGCAACGAAACATACCCCCGCAGCAACTAAATCATCCGAGCGGTCGACAAGGGTTGTCGCATATTTATTCATTTGTAGGTAAATGAAAATGAAATGAAATGGGGTTTAACATCCTACCGTTCTGCTCCTAACCTGGGCTAATGAAGACGGGCATACAGTGTGCTATGAGGGAAATTTTGCACGGGCAGCGGCACTACGACCTACTCTTATATCAAATTCCAACTGCCAAGGGATCTTTTACGTGCATGCCAATGTGTACACAGGACCTCGGTTTTTCGTCCTATCCGAACGACTAGACAGCTGTCCTTGTCAGGCCCTCCGTCCTGCATCACTGACAAGGGGAAACCACGCCGGAAAATCGGGATGAACTTTCTTGGCCAATGCAGGGATCGAACACCCGACCTCTAGACTAGCGAGCCAGCGTCTTACCCACTTAGCCACGTGATCCCCCTCCTTTGTAGATAATCGGGGGCCTTTACAAGACAGTTCCATACAGATCAGATTATAATTTTTGCTGTTTGAGGGTTCACAAAGTTCTACAAATTGAAACAAGGGTCTCAACTCGGAAGTAATCTACAGAAATTGTTGAAATTTGACAGGCTTTTTCGTTTCACTAATTTAAATAATGCATATAAATTTCAGAAAGATAGAATGATAACTTTTGGGGTTAGAGCGTTCACAAGGTCAAACAAAGTGAAACAAGGGCCATAACTCTAGAAGTAATAAACGGAATTGCTGAAATTCAATAGGCTTCCTTGTTTTGCTAATTTAAATATTGCATATAAATTTCACAAAGATCGGATGTTAACTTTTGGCATTAGAGCGTTCACAAGGTTCAATAAAGTGAAACAAGGGCCATAACTCTAGACGTAATATACAGAAATGGCTGAAATTCAATAGGTTTTTTCGTTTCACTATTTTAAATAATGGATATAAATTTCACAAAGATAGGATGATAGCCTTTGGGTTTAGAGCGTTCACAAGGTTAAAGAAAGTGAAACAAGGGCCATAACTCTAAAAGTAATAAACAGAAATTGCTGAAATTCAATAGGCTTCTTCGTGTCACTAATTTAAATATTGCATATAAATTTCACAAAGATCGACTGTTTACTTTTGGCATTAGAGCGTTCACAAGGTTCAACAAAGTGAAACAAGGGCCATAACTCTAGAAGTGATAAACAGAAATTGCTGAAATTCAATAGGCTTCTTTGTTTCGCTAATTTAAATATTGCATATAAATTTCCCAAAGATTGGATGTTAACTTTTGGCATTAGAGCGTTCACAAGGTTAAAGAAAGTGAAACAAGGGCCATAACCCTATTGAAATTAAATAGGCTTCTTCATCTCACTAATGTAAACAACATATATCAATTTTAAAACCATTGGATGATAACTTTTGGCGTTATCAAGAAATTGTGGACGATGGACGGACGGACGGACAGACGGGGGCGATGGCAACATACAACCACATTTCCATGTGGGCGTTTAAAAATGAAGAACATGAAATATGAAATGGCTGCCATGACTGTAATATGACAAGAGGCAAAGAAGCCTAGGCGTAATTATCGGAAATAGCTGAAAATCAATAGGCTTCTTCGTCTCATGACCTTATACACTGTATATAAATTTAAAGTCAATCAGATATTAACTTTGACCTCTAGAGCGGACACAAGATTTTTTTAAGTTATCAAGGGCCATGACTCTGGCAGTAATTATCGAAAATCGCCGAAAATGAATAGACTTCTACGTCTCATGACTTTAAACACTGTGTATAAATTTAAAGTCAATCGGATATTAACTTTAGCCTCTAGAGCGTCCACAAGATTTTTCAAAGTGATCAAGGGCCATAACTCTGGCAGTATTTATCGGAAATCGCTTAAAATGAATAGACTTCTACATCTCATGAACTTAAACACTGTATAAATTTAAAGTCAATCGGATATTAACTTTGACCTCTAGAGCGTCCACAAGATTTTTTGAAGTGATCAAGGGCCATAACTCTGGCAGTAATTATCGAAAATCGCTGAAAATGAATAGACTTCTACGTCTCATGACGTAGCCTCTAGGGCATCCACAAGATTTTTTCAAAGTGATCAAGGGCCATAACTCTGGCAATAATTATCAAGTTATAAAGTTTCATCAAAATCGGATCAAAATTGTGGCCCCTAGAGGGTCCACAACTTTGATATACCAGATGTACATTTTGTCTGGCATTTTTTGTCTGATTTTCATGAAACTCAACCTCAGACAAAATTACGGTGTAACGGTGATATATTCGAATGTTTTTTTAAATCGGATAATAATTGTGACGTCTAGAGGGACCACAAGCGAAAAACTTTATTTTTCGTACAATCAGGGGCCATAATTCAGGAAGTTATGATTTGATATGCACGAAAATAGAAAGGAACCAAGATATTTGGGTTATAAACATGCATTTCAAATTTCATCAAAATCAGATGAAAATTGTAACCTCCAGAGGATCCACAACCCTGATTTTTACGAAATTCGAACTCAACCATCCTTTAATAGGGTGTAACGGTAATATATTCAAACGGTTTTGTAAAACTGATAAAAATTGTGACCTCTATGGGGTCCACAAGCTAAAACGCGATTTTTTGTAAAATCAGGGGCCATAATTCAGGAAGTTACGGTCCGATATGCGCGAATATCGAAATCAATCGAGATCTGTGGGTTATAAACATACATTTCAAGTTTAAACCAAGTTTAGTCAAATGACTACAAAAAGGTTACTGGTAGCTCCCTTACTTTACACATAAACTGACCCAAAACTGTACTGCACATAGCTTAACATATAATGAACCAATTTCTATTGAAATAAAGGTGAAACCTTACCGCATAATTATATGATATGAAACCCAACTGTTACGTGAAATTTCTCGACTATGGGAATTGGTTTATTATGTGATAAGCTATGTGCAGGGATGGGTGGGACTTAAAAAAGAAAGAGCCAGGGCTTAAATCTGCCTTGTTCAGCAGAATCGCCAAAAACGACCTTGCAATGAAGGACCTAACACTAACCACAAAAATGACGTCGAACGGATAAACTTATCGTCTTATCTCTAGGAGAACCTAAAAAGTCGATAAAATCAAAAGTTACGAGTTGTAAAAATAGTCCTCAGGCTATTGTTGCGACGATGCTTTCACTTTCAGAGCCCTCCATCGGCGAAGTTAAAAACTGAATAGTCGTAAAAATAGTCCTGTGATAGCCTGAGGACTATTTTTACGACTCGTCGTAACGAAATTTCAAGTCTCTACGATCACGAGAACCCTCTGTGTTTTTCGAGATAAGAAATGGTGCTATTAACTTCAACGTAGCACATTATTGTTATTTATAATATTTCTGCCACACCCAACTACAATTAAGCATATAATCCTACCTGAAACGGGTACAAATCCCCCTTTTTTAAATCAAAGCGACAGTAGATTGCTTTTCCCGACATTTTAAATTTACGTCTGTAACACATAAATAGCCAATCAAAGTACTAATCTGATCAGGGTTGCGCAGTAGTAATACGCCGTAATTATGAACGTCCGAATCAATTTTGATAAAAACAACGCTTGATTTACTTTATTGTCAATATACATTTTGCTGATAAATGAATGTTGTTTCAGTAGATTGTGTAATAAGTACTAAATTAATAGTATAAAATTAACTTATTTTTAAGATGGTGCATGCATTAATAAAGAAATTGAGTTTGCCACTTGGAACTAAAGGCTTAGGCATCCAATTCTAGCTAAAAATCAAGCACATCAGTATATATCTCAGCGTTTTTAGTTCCGTTCTCGTAGCTAGAGAACTGGTAGAGGCACGAAAACCAAAGGATGAATTTAGTTGACAATGATACAAACGCATTTCAAAGAGCTTTTCATGCATTATTCAGCATAACTAAGGTTGAGTCAAAAGTGAACAAGTTTATTAGAGCTTTAACAAACCTGTAAATCTTTGTATTCCGCAAAAAATTGTTCCGTACTCCATTGTACGGCCATTTTCTTATATATTTATTTTGTCTCGGTTATCCAGCATTTAATATTTAATATGGCCATCCTGTCTCCCAATTTTTGTTATTCATAGTATTAATTATTGATTCAATTCAAATACTTTTTGGAAAAACAACAAATTTGAAATAAATTTTATATCGTATTAAAGAAATATTTCCTTCTAGATGACAATATTTAGGATTTTTGTAGTACATAGTGCAGCAAGGGTGCATAACTCTTGATGTCAATTTATTTAATTATTTTGTTTATTTGAAACGTTAGTGATTTTTATCAATCTATTGAATGGAAACGGTGTTTGTTGTTACTCATATCCATATTATTTATAGAAGAGAATTAAAAAAAAAAAAAAAAATATGACAGGGTTAAACTGAAGTCTCAAAAAGCTCGAAATTCTACACTGATTTGGAGACTAAAGGGGGACAACTCTTCTAGTACCCGTCATGGACAGTGGAATGGGTGTGACACATTTATGTTGATTAGCTGTTCATTAGCATAATACATGATAACATTCTCCAAAATGACCTTGCAGTCAATTTGATCAAGTGTAGAACAAGCCCAGACTATGAACCTCTAGCAACTTTCATATAATTAAATGTATCAGAGAACTTTATTTGTTGAATATCATATCACAATAAATCATATCAAATCTATAAAAAAAGAAATAGCAGGTCTGGTAAAGCCTGTCAGTTTATTTTCAGGGGGAAACCAGTTTGAAGGAAGATATTATGACCTCCCTTTAAAGGATATAATAGTAAATTTTGTTGTTGTCCAGTATATATGTATAAGAATATCTTGTACCCCATTTCATTCACACAACCTTAGTAATTTTTCTAAAATATGTTTCATTTTCTTTAACTGCACTTACATTAGACCAGACAATTAAGATTGACCATTTCAATCACAGCAATATGTCTAGTATGACTTAGCTAAATACTGTCCAAGTGAACGTGCCACTGCAAACATAGCTATTTCTACACTGATATAAAATTGGGGACGGACATTTCAGCCATTTAAAAGAAAAACCCATTCTATCTGGATAGAAGGATGGTATTCCCATGCTGCAAATGCTTCAGCAGAATACACAATCTGCTTCATCTTCAAGATTGTCATTTGTACAAAAATGTAATCACCCAGGGTAGCCTTCAGTTGCACGGATTTTCGCACTATAGTTCAACCTGTGGTCGTGACCAGCCATACCATACGATAGAGCACAGTCGGGATAGTTCAGAGTGTAGTCCAAACCATAGTCTACATCCGAAGGTCGGCCTGGTTTTCTAAACATAGAAAGAGAGGGCCTTTTTGACTAAATGGAGCTTGTTATAATAACATATTAATATTAAATGGTTATTTCTATTCAAGTGACTAGGTGTCCCTTCATAGCTTTTAACCAGACACTGGGTTTCACAAAGAATTACATGTGTGTTTAAAATACGTGCTATCAGGAAATGACACAATTTACTCTCAATATGCTGTCTTATTAATGAATAAATGTATTATAATCTGGAAACTTTATGGTATTAAATAGCTGTTTTATGTTAGGATAATAGATGATCAACTGTAAATGGTTTTAACGACTGTAATAAGGAATGTAATGTAAAGAGTAAATCCAAACTCGTAAAATTCTAATATTTTATTTTCGGTTGTTTTAAGAGAGACAATAATACACTGACGTTACTGTGGCACCTTCTAAAGTCCACTAATACAATGTTAGCAAGTTCCAGGCTTTCTAGACAAGACTAGAATGGTGGAATATCAAATGATGATTCCTTGAAGTCAAATAAAACTTTCAAATTGCAGTTTACAATTGGCAGTTATTTTGCAATGATGTACAAAAAAATCATCCATTTGGAAAAAATAAAAACAAAACAGAAATATGATAATGGTCATGTAATTATGTTTAAAGATGAAAGTTGAGTACATACATTGAATGCCATTTGACACATTAATGCTTCACATCCTTTTGTTAGGCCATACTATATATCACCGAGTTGATCAAGATGGTTATTTTGATCAAAATATTTGCGATCACAATTTTCTGGTTCAATGTAATATTACTGTGTGTAAAGATCTCTGTTGACCATTATTATCAGTTTTGTATTAATATCTCCCTAATGACAACACCTTCGCCATAGTTGTTTCAGCCTACACTTATAAGGATAAGAAGCATCAACATTGTCAGTGTGAATACACATATTATTGGACCATAAAACAATCATTTCTTAAAAGTTGAAACTGTACACTCATGCAACAATTTTCTCAATGAACATTGAAATAAAAGAAATAAATAAATTAGTAGGAGGGCCTACCAGTGATTCCCTCCTCGCACACACACATAGCATGGATAAGATGATACAAACTACAAGACGGTATAATTACAGATTTAAGTTGATCATAATATGACCAGTTCTAATCGTATCGTCAACACATCTAACCCTTCCCACCATTTCATTACATACCCCACCCCACTCTATCGTTTACTATTACCCACCAACACCCCCTTTTAAACCACCTAGTTTAAACACTAGGTGAACACAGTAGATGGCCAAAGACAAGCCATCAAATTACATTATATAATTACATTTACATTGAATGCAAGCAACAAACTTTACTGTAGCATTTGTAGTGATTCACTATAGTATATGATTAATATTCATAATTTATATTATTAATATCAGTATTGAGCAGCTATTTATTTCTAAAAAAATTCCTATATTAAATATCATGCACATTTTGAAGCCATATGTTCAATAAGTTAATAATAAATATCATTTCAAGAATCAAGTTTGCCGTGACTGTTCTAATAGATTTGTAGAAATCTACAGTGATTTGATTGATTTGTCCAAAATAAGAAAAGTCATAAATCATCTTAATTAAAGTAATGTACATGTATACTTTTCTATCAATTAATTAGTTTCTCAGTAATTGGTCAAGTCTTTCATGAGAGAAAAACATGTCCTCTGTCAAATAAATAACATATTAAATGTAAAACAAATTAGATAATTTGCTGTGGCCTTTCTTGTTGATACACTCAAACAATTTTACATCCGCCCTGCCCATAATGGTAATGCCTTTTGATTTTATTTTGTCAACTGATTTTATTTATTTTTTTATGCTTGTCACTGAGTTTAGTCTGGCTTTACAAAGGTTGCATTCTTGAGAATAAATCACAGTTTATTAATACCTGATGAATACAAAATGGGTTGATCTATGAAACACTATAATAAATAAGAACTTGAGGCTAAAACTGCTAAATACCCTGGCCAAAATGATTACGCAATGTTTTTTTTCTTCTAAAAGTAGATAATCAAAACCACTTCATGTACAGTGCAGCCAAGTGTAGGTTCACTCCTAATTAAGCCGTTTTTACATAATACTATTAACTGTAAATCATGTACCCTGTGCAGTACAGCAGTATGTTTGTTCACTTTAAAACTTAACAATATGCACATAAGATTTATCAAATAAAACTGGATTATAAAGTGGTTTATTTTCCATGTATGTCTGTTTTATATCACTACAGTTTTCAGTGTAGTTTATAATCACACACTATCTTTGTTTTTGTGTCTTTTAGAAAGACAAAATTAAGATAAATATATGAATATACTTAATATAAACAATGTCATGTTTTTCATAAATAGTTTCTAACCTTTTGAAGCTAGGTAATTTAAACAAACGATAAAACTTAAATAAACTACAAGATAAATCTCACAAAATAAAACATGTCTAAAACTTAAATAAACATAAATCAAGGGATTTCTATTAAAGACCATTGATTCGGATTTGCAAAGGGAAACCAGAGTAAAAGGTATAGTATACAAAACTTAAAACTAAATATAAAACAATTGTAAAAAAATTTGTTGTCATCATTAAAAGATTTTTTAAATAATACTATTATGAGAACACTGCTTTTGATATTTCTAAATAAAATTAAACAATAAATATTATATTAAATTATTTAGTGAGTGATATTATGAAAGGTATATTTTTATTATTATAATATTATGTTAATAATATTACAACCGAACAATCGCTGAGGCCATAATACTTCAATGATTTATGTCCTCGCTACACAAAGTTCTTACATTTTATAATGTAAGTGAGACAAATGAAGATTTCAGTGGAGAACATATAGTTAATTTAAGAAATACAAAGAAAGATGTTTATTATGACAGAAAACTTGAGCAATGTTTTGGATACATTTTCTAATAATAAATAATATATTGCACCAAAGTAATGTTGGACCCAGCGATCTTGTAATAGTGAACACCATACTGTATCGGATCTGATCTTAGTAATTATTTTCTCTGCTTGCCTGATGCTATATCAGTTGTGATAAGAGAGAGAAAGAGAGAGAGAGACTAGTTAGGATGAAAGAGGATCAAAATACATATTATATCATATTTACATTGTATATCTAGCAATTATAAATAAAACACACACAAGAATATTATTAACAGTTGTCACATTCAATTAAGACAGCAAATCATGAATCAAGACAAGAACACAATCTCAGACATATTTTTTAGTCTGACATTACATATTTATACACACTTAGCAATGGATAAAATCCTTAGATTGTAGGTTTCTAATGATGTATATCATTCAACACAGGTTCTGTAGTAATGTGATTCATTCACATCGTATTTTAATACCTTTCTTAGTCTATTTTACATCAAAAATGTCATATTACACAGCTAGACATTTTCTAGAAGTATACACGCCATGGTTCATGATTTGCTGTAAGTATTTATTAAATCATTACATACAATATACATTCATACATATTTTCTTGTACTTAATTAGTATATTGTGCAAGTACACTTTGTTGCCGTACATATACTGGTATACATAATACATATACTGGCATATTTTAGCAGTATGATTATTTTAAAACCTATAATATTACAGAAGTGATCAAAGTTGGCTTGTTGAAAGTCTAAATGCTTATATATCAAAATTAAGATGATAGACATTAATATCTACATGTATTTAGGCCAACCGACATAAATATTAAACCTACATTAAAAGCTCTTTAATTAACTACATTGAAGCTTTGAAATAAATTCTATCAACTTCAATATATAGTTTAACAGAATCTTATTATTTAATAAGGGTGCATTAGAAGTTATAGATTTAGATTAGTCCTTTACACTGTTCTATGTTTAATTTTCTTTGGCCATAAATCGGTCTCTTTTATTACAATTTCTTTTTCCTAGATCATATTTAACAAGGCACAGAGAAATTTAAACATTCGGACCAATTTACCAGTTCTCATATTAACTAATGTAAAAAAATCCAACCGTCCGTCCTGAAACAATTTTGAATTATGCAAGATGTTATGTTACAGACAAATAAAACAAGTGTACTATTTCCGACATTGATAACTTTTGATGCCATGTTAACAAATAATTTGTCTTCCCGTTTTTCTTATCACAAACATTAACATAAAATATCACTTAAGAACCATGGAAGGTTACAAGGCCATATTCTTCCACATTGAGATCTTGATTTTCGATATCTGTGGTGTGTGTGTGTGTGTGTTTTCACAATGGCAGAAATGTTAACAGATAAAATGTACAGTTCTCCATGAGGTTTCATTTAGTGTCCTTCCAATGCTAGTACATTTATTTGCTCGTTGGAAAAGAGGATGTCTGATCCAAGTAATGGAGAAGCTACGAAACATAATGAGACTGGAGTAAAATATTCACTAATTGTAGACGGCATTCTCTCTTCAAACATCTCACTAGTTGCTGAGTCGTCCATTTATGGTGTCGCCAACAACCAGAATGTGCAAAACACAAGGAGCTATTAAAAGCATGATACGTTTTGAAATACAAATACAGGTATTGGTCAGCTGTATGAACACCTATGAGCTTGAATGTTACAAATATTGCACATAGAACAAAACTTAAACAGACTAAAACAATTCATACACTGGCAAAATATACCAGCATCTCCTATGGAACACCAATATAGATAAAATTTGCAGCAAGAAAAAGTCAATACATATATAAGTGTCATGTCTTTAAATCAAATAATTTTCCGTATTCCTGGTATATATATCTAGGCTTCCATATCCTGAATGAGTCTGTACAGTTACGTCAAGAAGGACCTGTATATTTTCCCAAGAATAATGGCATTAAAATTGCACACAATATGAGCAGAGACATTTTTGCTTGCTCTCTGCCGAAAGTCCAATTGAATGTGGATGATAAGTCACAGACGGCACGACATTGCACAAACAGATACATAGTTCTCATAGTCTGTAGACACTTTAATACAAGCCACATCCTCTCAGATTGTTTGCGATGATAACATCTGTTACCGCATCAAACACAAACTGAATATTGTTAGTATCTGTAGCACAAGTTTGGTGACAATAGATTTCCTTCGTTGAACTCTTGTTCTTGGCTTCAAATTGCGCTTGAATATATGCAGCTGCTTCTTCATAAGTTTGTTTACCTGCAACAGACAAATCATTCATGTTTAATTCAAATAATACCCAAAATGTTAGTGTAAAAATCAGGGAAATGAATAGGTTTGTTATGATATCTTAATTATTATACACACCGTATGCATAAATCTACCATTGAAAAAAAAAACCAACCTTATAATACTTTTTCCAATTGTAATGGTAATTGTACTATACTAAAAAGATAGGTTGCCAGACAACGAAACATATGCCCACAGCAGCTAAATCGTCCGGGCAGTCAACAAGAGTTGTCATATATTTTTACTTTTTTCGGTAATGAAACATTTATAATACATTAAAATCTGATTAAGAGTAACAACTCATTAAGTAATTATCAGAAAATAGGCTTCTTCGTCTCATGACCTTAAACACTGTGTATAAATTTAAACTCAATCGGATATTAACTTTGACCTCTAGAGCGTCCACAAGATTTTTTGAAGCGATCAAGGGCCATAACTTTGGCAGTAATTATCGGAAATCGCTGAAAATCAATAGGCTTCTTCGTCTCATGACCTTAAACACTGTGTATAAATTTAAAGTCAATTGGATATTAACTTTGCCTACTCTTATATTGAATTCCAACTACTAAGGGATCTTTTACGTGCACGCCAATGTATACACAGGACCTTGGGGTTTTTTTTCCCATTCAAACCACTAGACATGTGTACAGCTGTCCTTGTCAGGTCTTCCGTCTTGCATCACTGACAAGGGGAAACCACGTCGGAAAATCCTGAAGAACTTTCTCAGCCAATACAAGGATCGAACATGCAAAATCCCGATACGGTCCGATACATGCCAGTACCAGTATCGAAAAGAACAGAGATCTTTGTAAGATAAACCTATATTTCAAGTTTTGGATTTGGATAAAAATTGTGACCTGTAGAGTGTCCACAAACAAATTGTGGACAGACGGATGGACGGGCGGACAGGGGTGATGGCTATATACACCCACATGAAAATGTGGGCGTATAAAAAAATTCCACTCACAGAACCATCAAACCCAGAAAACTTTCAGCTCAGTTCCATGAATATTGCTCTTTATTTTATAAATCAGAGAAAATCAGTGGTCTGGATTATAAGTAAATTTTCTATTGCTGGTGAGTATAATATACCTATTAATAAATAGACTTTTACACAAGTAGTAGTTCTAACAAATGAAACCACTGATCATGCTCAGTTATTGAAATTAGACAACAGTACAAATTGAACAGAGCTATTTCTTGCCAGTCCAGGAGCTGATTTTAAACTTGATTTGCAGCTTTGGCAAATACTGGACATATTTACTCAGTGTCAGATTTTTCACTATATGGAAGTCGACAATGTATTACACTGGTAGGTAAATTTTATGCATGGAAATTCTTGAACTACCCTACCACTACAACTGACAGCATATAATTATTTGTGCTCGATCTACCATACCTGTATATTCTCCAAAACATATTGTTAGAGATGACTTTTTAATCTTTTCTTCAAACAGATCTTTCTTGTTAAGGAAAAGGATAATAGATGTATCAGTAAACCATTTGTTGTTGCAAATAGAATCAAACAACTTCAAACTTTCTTGCATGCGATTCTGAAAGAAAAATCAAAATGTATGTTTTATTGTATGTTTTGCATAGAAATATGCCTACAAAAAAAGATATTCTATCCTTTTACATGTACCTTTACCTAAACTTAGATTCATTTGTAAAACAAAATTCATATTGTTCAGTTTTAACTGAAAGAGAAATTATTGCTAAATTCTTACATGCATACATATAATGGCCATTGGGTAATGATGCCAAATGAGATAAAAAAATATTCTGCAGTCTGTGTGATTAAGTCTTGAAAACACAAACAAAAAACTACTGGCAGTAATTATCGGAAAACGGTGAAAATCAAGAAGCTTCTTCGTCTCATGACCTTAAACGCTGTGTATAAATTAAAAGTCAATCAGATATTAACTTTAGCTTCGACAGCGTCCACCTGATTTTTCAAAGTGATCAAGGGCCATAACTCTTGCAGTAATTATCGGAAATCAGTGAAAATCAAAAGGCTTCTTCGTCACATGACCTTAAACACTGTGTATAAATTTAAAGTGAATCGGATATTAACTTTAGCCTCTAGAGCGTCCACAAGCAATTGTGGACACCAGACTGATGGACGAATTATATGCATTGCGACCCACTTTTGTCAATTTCTAGGTCCCAAATGTTAGCGATTTAGCTCCTTTAAGCAATTGTTTTCTAAACTAAAATCAGTGGTAAATTTTGTCAACAATATTGGAGAGACACAGGGTTTAAAACATGCAGTACTTACAGTTGTCTCATCTTCATGTAAAACCTGGTCATATTCACTCATAGCTACACAAAAAATAATGGCAGTTACATCTTCAAAACAATGTATCCATTTTTTTCTTTCTGACCGTTGACCACCAACATCAAATAATCTAAAAAATAATATTACATAATATTCAATATAAGTGTTACTACTATTCATGTAACAAATAATCAAATAAATGACCAATTACACTGCAATTTGTAGGCCTATATGTTTTTCTCATTTTATTTTATTTGTGTTTATATGCCTGACTTGTGAAATCTTGTTGAAACTGTGTAATAAGCTATAGTAATTGTTATCCATTATGTCTGAATTACTAAATACCATTCAAAGACTACTATTCATGTAAGTAGCTCACATGTAAGAAAATGGAATATCCGGGTAAATTATATTGCAGCTTGCAATCTGAAAAGTCTAACTTTTGAATTGTGAAACAGCGGATCTCAATTGCATGCAGGCTTGATAAAATATTATATAGTCCCTATATCATATTCTACCACAACATGATTACTTTTAGCTGCAATGTTCATACGAAAAAAGGGGCGGCTATCCAACCTCGTGGGTTTTCTCCGGTTTCCTACCACTGCTAAAAAAGACCCCTACATGCAAGCGAATTATTAAAAAAAATTTGAACCATATGTTAGAGCTAGTTTGTGTTGAGTGGACGTTAAAGGGTTTAATAAACCCCATCTCTCTCTCTCACATACGAAAAAAATATCAGAAATATCTAAATTTTGTGTATGAATGGAATCTCTTGATTCTATTACATTGTAATTATCTAGAATTGTTATTTAACACCCTTCTCACCTGCTACAAACTATCATCAAATTAATTTCAAATAAATGTAAGTCTACTTGTATATAAGTTATAACCCATAGTATTATTATCTACATGTCATCCATGGACAATATAACATAGTACTGGAACTAATCCAATATTAATTATAATTAAGAAACTATATGGAATCACCTCATTTTTTTTTTAAAGTGACTGACATCATGTACAAAACCAAATTTATAATACAGTACCGTAGTTTTTTTTGTTTGTTTTTTGTTTGGGGAGGGGGGGGGGGGCGGGGTAGGGAGGGCTTGATTCTATTAGGGGTCTATAGAATGTCCAATTAACATATTTAATTAATTGAAACTATTCACAGTGTTTTAAATATTTGTATATTGTGTGTTTGACAGTTTCTGACTCCAATGCATATAAATACACTTAATAATAAACTCTGTCCATGATGTTTCAATTTTGACAGTTTTAACCAATTATTGTATAAAAGTATAGAAGTTATGCCAATTAACTTACATGTATGTGCTCATAATTTTGCCTAATCAATTCTAACTTTTTACTTATATTCTATAAACTGAAGTTTCATTATAGCCATATTTAGAAATATAGGTTGCCAGGCAACGAAACATACACCCACAGCAGCTAAATTGTCCGAGCCGTCAACAAGAGTTGTCGCACCTTTAATCTTTTGTAGATAATTGGGGGCATTTATTTACAAGACAATTTCATACAGATCAGATTATAATTTTAGTCGTTTGAGGGTTCACAAGGTCCTACAAACTGAAATAAGGGCCTTAACTCTGGAAGTAATGTACAAAAATTATTGAAATTTGACCAGCTTTTTCATTTTTACTTTTTCATTCGAACTCAACCATTGTTAGGTTGTAACAGTGGATATATACAAATGTTTTTTTAAAATTGGATAAAAATTGTGACTTCTAGAGGGACCACAAGCAAAAAATGCGATTTTTTGTACAATCAAGGGCCGTAATTCAGGAAGTTACGATCAGATATGCGCCAATAACGAACGAAACCAAGATCTTTGGGTTATAAACATGTATATTTCAAGTTTCATCACAATCGGATGAAAATTTTGACCTTTTTTGTACAATCAAGGGCCAAAATCCATGAAATTTCGATCCGATATGCGCGAATATCGAAAGGAACCAAGACCTTTGAGAGATAAACATATATTTAAAGTTTCGTCAAAATCGGATAAAAATTGTGACCTGTAGAGTGTTCACAAACGGACGGATGGACAGGGACGACGACATTATACAATATATCAAATTTATCACGGCTTATTCCACACTAATATATATTCAGATTTATTACACAAAATAAATATATCAATCTTAAATAATCTCCTGGCTTGGATTCAATCAGATTAAAAACATGCTAATCAATAAGATTTCGGGAAAACATAAAGATAGCGGTGGGTGGGTTTTAATATCATGGTGTCATACGACAAAAAAAAACCCACTTGTACAATGTAGAACAGTGTTGTTGATAGATTTTGTCAAGAAAAAGAAGCAAGAAGAGAGAAAAATAAAACAAGTAAATTGTACGATTATCATAGGGGTAGCATTGATCGATGGAATTTTACTTCATCATATCTTTTTAAATACTGAATGGAATTGATAATTTTTGGACTGATATTCCTATTTAGGATTAAAGAGGATTTCTATATTTCTCAAATCACGATCAGACTTTAACTTACTTGAAATTTAAATTCTTAAATGAGAAATGAACTTCTACTATTCCAGTGGTCTTCACTCTAGTACGTAGAATATCTTGTTCTGTAGGCATGTAATCTTTTGCACCTAAACGTTCTAAATCATCTAAAAAGCTGTAACAGAAAAAAATAAATATATCAATTAATTGACTTTTTATAAAAAAGATAGGTTGCCAGGCAAGGAAACACGCCCACAACAGCTAAATCGCCCGAGCGGTCGACAAGGGTTGTCGCATATTTGTTCCTTTGTAGGTAATTGTGGGCCTTTACAAGACAGTTCCATACAGATCAATTTCATACAGATCGGATGATCACTTTTGTCATTCAAACGTTCACGAGGTTCACAAAGTAAAACACTGGCCATAACTCTAGAAATTATTGACGGAAATTGCTGAAATTCAATAGACCTCTGTTTCACATATTTAAATGATGCATATAAATTTCATACATATCGGATGATAACTTTTATCAATCGAGCATTAACAAGGTTGAACAAAGTGAAACAAGGGCCATACCTCTAGAAATAATTATTGTAAATTGCTGAAATTCAATAGGTTTCGTGGTTTCACTAATTTAAATAATGCATATAAATTTCACAAAGATTGGATGATACCTTTCGACGTTAGAACGTTCACAAGGTTCAATAAAGTGAAACGAGCCATAATTCTAGATGTAATAAATGCAAATTGCTGAAATTCAATAGGATTCTTCTCTTTACTAATTTAAATGACACATGTAAATTTCATACAGATCAGCAGATAACTTTTGATGTTAGAGCGTTCCCAAGGTTCATCAAAGTGAAACAAGGGCCATAACTCTACAAGCAATTGACGGAAATTGCTGAAATTCACTAGGATTCTTCGTTTCACTAATATAAATCATCCATATCGATTTCACAAAGATCGGGTGATAACTTCTGTCATTAGAGCGTTTACAAGGTTCAATATAGTGAAACAAGGGTCATAACTCTAGACGTAATAAACAGAAATTTAGCTTGACATGTGTAATAACCTCCAAAAAATTTGTTATTCAAATATTCAATTTGGAAATAATTTTTTCTTAAGAAAATAACCAGCGGCTGCCAGGCAGGATACGCCCACATTTTGCAATACGTGGATAGAGAACAAGCTCAATACAAATGCGATTTTTTGTACAATCAGAGGCAATAATCCAGAAAGTTATGGTCTGAAATGTGCAAATATCAAAAGGAACTGAGATCTTTGGGATATAAAGATATGTCTTAAGTTTCATCAAAATCGGATAAAAATTGTGACTTCTAGAGGGTCCACAACCTTCATATTCCATACTTTTACACAATTTGCGTACAAAGAGCGGCCATATTGTGGGGCAGTTTCATTTCAATTTTCCCGAAATTCAAATTCAATCATCATTATGGTGGAATGGTGATATATTTAAACGGTTTTTAAAATCGGAAAAAAAAAATTCTGACCTCTAGAGAATCGGTATGCTAAAAATACGATTTTTCGAACAATCAGGGGCCATAATCCAGGAAGTTATGTTCGGATATGCATGATTATCAAAAGGAACCAAGATCTTAGTGTGAAACGGTGATATATTCACACTTTTTTTTTTAAATCGGATAAAAATTGTGGCCTCTAAAGATCTTTGGGTTATAAATATGTACATGTATTTCAAGTTTCATCAAAATCGGATCCAAATTGTGACCTCTAGAGGGTCCACAACCTTGATATACTAGATGTTTACACTATTTGTGTGCAAGGGGCGACCATTTTGCTCGGCAGTTTTGGCCTTATTTCACGTAATTCGAACTCAACCAACATTACGATGTAACGGTGATATATTCAAACGTTTTTTTTAAACCAGATGATAATTGTGACCTCTAGAGGGACCACAAGCTAAAACAAATTTTTTTCGTACAATCAGGGGCCATAATTCAGGAAGTTACGATCCGATATGCGCGAATATTGAAAGGAACCAAGATCTTTGGGTTATAAACAGGAATTTCAAGATTCATCAAAAGCGGGTGAAAATTGTGACCAATCACTGAATCAGGGGCCATAATCCATGGAGTCATGGTCTGATACATGTCAAAATCGACAGAGATCGAGATCCTTGGTATATAGACCTATATTTTAAGTTTCGTCAAAATCGGATAAAAATTGTGACCTGTAGAGTGTCCACAAACAAATTGTGGACGGACGGACATGGGCAATGGCATAATACGTCACATGAAAATGTGGGCGTATAAAACTTAACCTTAAACAACAAAATAGTCTCTAGAATTTATCCATGGAGTTACATGTTCATGTAATTTTTAAAAATCCCCACAAAGAACAGATGCCAATTTCATATGAAGTTTTCAAATACTAGTATTAGTCATACTATAAGTTTAAAACTCCATATGGCATATGCCATATACCATAGTATATCTGAACTTAATACTAATAATTTCCATAGCTTATAGAGTATTAAAATAAATTGTAGTTTAGCAACAATTACTTATTATTTACAAGCAAAATTCATTAGAAATGTATTTATTACATCAATTTAGTGTTATCATTTGAATGATAAATATACATAGTGGTGAATAATAAGAGATAAAAGATAAAGTAATAATCATGGTAAATGTCACATCATGTAAATAATATAACAAACTCTCATTATTCATCATATTTAAATCAACAAACTGTACCGTGTCATATTTTTTATGTTTGATATCTATCAATGTAAATAATATTTGCAGAGGTCAGTGAAAGAGTTGGCCTCACTGGTCACTGATTATCTACATCATTATTTACAGAATATAGACAGGGTTTATATTGATCGACCTGAGGTAGTGTGGCTGTTACTGTCCTAGCTTAGTTATTCATAGAACGAAATAGGACAGTATAAGAAAACACAGAAAGGATTTGGTGGCAATATCTCGATATTATAATAAAATTAATTAATATCAATCATATAAACTTTGCAAAGTGTAATATTATTTTCACAAAACAAATATTCACTGTGTGTTATATGATAGGAAACAATCAATTCACCAAAATCTAGTCTAAAATTTGAATGTTGAGCTGGAACAAAACCACTATTCTTATTGCGGCGACATCATGACCAATATTAACATCCTAGTTTTGAAGAATAAAGAATTTGTTTGGAAAACTTCCCTATACAGAAAATCAGCTACGGCAGTGATTCTAGCATTATTCTACTATATATAGAGAATTAAATAAGCAGTATACAGTCTTTCTAGCTTTAACTTCCTCATAGAGAATTGCTATGGCTGAGTCACTATACATGTAGCTCTAACTTCTAAATATAGAGAATTGGCTAAGGCAGAGTCTTTCTACCTTTAAATTCCTACTTCCTATAGAGAATTGGCTAAGAAAAAGTCTATCTAGTTTCTTTAATTTCATCATAATATATTGAATTAGTTTTTCAACATGTACCTTTAACTTCCTAATATAGAGAATTTTGACATTAACTGGTTGTATACTACCTAAATATAGTCCAGCAGACCTGTGGCTGAACCTGGAAATTGTATAAAGAGGTTTTTTTATGATTGATTTTAGTAGCCTAGGGCGTCCTTGTTCAGAAACTGCCGGGTAACCAAGACCTTGAGCGTTTTGCGAGATCCAAGATGGCGTCTAAGAAACCTGCCATTTCAAATAATCCCCTTTATTTTATGATCAGTAGTGGAATACCGCGTTTTATCAGTGAAATAAAAGTGTTATTCCACTGGCTAGCAGTAGTCCATGTTGTTTTTACCTAAAATGATTGTAAAATTCGTGAAAATATAAGTTTTCTTGCTTCTCGATGAAATAAAATATGTTATTCACTCTAAAACGACAAATATCCTCTATATAACTCCCATAGTATTTAGTCTATCACTCCTATGTCCAGAAATATATATCTTTAACTTATTTATATTAGTGTATGGATAATTGACTAGGTAAGGGCTAGCTTTAATATCCTGTTGTATTACTACATATACGTTTGTTTAATTTACAAGCTAGTAGTATCATGAAGCTTTACATAATGTAGCTTTAATGTGTCCATTTTAACTTAAAGGAACTACATGTAAAACTCTTTAAATAAGGTCAAAATATGGTGATGAATTGGGTTGGTCTGGTGTGTCATTTCAATTATTACTTAGACATTTTCTATTCAATCAAATGTTAATTCTGCTAGAACTAGCAAAAGTTAGTCTTTCTACAAATTTTGTTTAGTTATTGACTTAAACACACAATCAGTAATATCACAAAACACTGGCATTAAAATGTGCAATGAAGACATATTTTTATCTCAAGAAGTAAATTCTCAAACATGACAAGCAGGCACTTCCATCACAATACCACTGCCTGAGTAAAATGTGAATAAAGTTGCTTACTATTTAGCTGAATCATTCAACTGATATTCATTTGATCTACCAAAACATTCTTGTACACCACTATCACCCCACAGTCTTTTCATGGCTGCTAAAAGTTCCTCTGAAAAAGGCTCAGTATCTTCCATTCTAGCTATCACATCAAGCACCATTTTGGCATCAGACTGCAAAATAAATAAATTGATCATATCATAAAAAAAACTTGAATATCAGCAGCTGTTTATGATAATGATGAAGAGAATGAACAAATAAAACTACTTTTATTCCTACATCAGGTCCTGGTCAGATATTCAGCAGTATAGTAGCATCATTGTAAAATGTTATAGAAGCATTTGCCATCACTAAGCTTCATAACATGTGTTGTGAAGACTTAATCACAGGATTTGTTACACTAGCCACCATATTGCATGTAGGGCATAACCACCACCATTTTAAATACATTCAAAAATGTGTTTGTCTCATTAATAGTTGTCAATGAATTATACATTCAAAATATCTGTACTCTCATTTTATTCAACTTGTTAAAATCTACTTCATATATATGATAAGGTCTTATCTTTTTCGAGCCTTCTTAAGTATAAGACAGAAATAGCTGAAAACTGTTCACATTTTATCAAAAACAAACATTAAATAAATAGGATGCTGTGGATAAACATTTTTTTGCTAACATCTACATGAAAGAGATTATAAATATAGCTGTGTGCTGAGAAATGTGAATATATATATTTATATATACATACAGTATATAGTAGAATAGTTAATTAAAGCTGCTCTTTGGTAACATGTAGGCAGAGATTATGAATTCTGGTTAGAAATAACCCCATATCTTTCTTTTGGTGTGTCACAGAAATAAGCTTTCACATTGAAGAAGTCAGCAGCTAATGATTTTATTGGATTTTAAAATGAAAATGTCTAACAATGGATATTGAAACACTTTAATATCTCTCATCCACTGTTTTTCTTACCGATATGTTATCCTATGAATTATTTGTCCACTTATTTTGGTAGATAATGATATCCAAATATCAAAAATATGTTCACTGAAACCTAATTAGGACAGAAGTCCTGGCATGGAACAGAGTCTAGTCATTCACACAGGATGAAAAACGAGATCTCTTATGTCTGTTCGAGTGCACGTACAGTGAAACCTTCGCAGTTGGAATACAATGAAATGCTGCTGTCTGGGAAAAATTGGCCCTCATAGCTCACTGCATGGTGTTTGCCTGTCTTCATTAGCCTGTTTGGTGCAGAAATTAAGGATGTTACACTCCACTTCATTTCATATTTCCTATACATTTATATGTACTACATAATCACTTGTAAAACGCACTTTGTGTAAAATATTTAGAATGTATTGGCAAAAAATACATTTAGCAAGACTACTGATACAGTATGGAATGCAATTCTGTTTCTTAAGTTCAAAAGCATGAGCCAGTGCTAAATAAATTGATATCTTAACAATAAATAAAGAGTATTCTATCACTTTTTCTCAGAGGTCAAAGCACACATCTACCGTGGAATATTTCTTGATCAGCTTATACTCTCAAAATTAATTATCTACAGATCAATTGGACATTAATTTATTAGGATTAAAGGGGAAATGTGTCCTCTTGCTGATATAAAGGCGAGCAAAGCCTGGGTTAATATGAATTAAGCAGGAAAGAAAGGAGAGGCCTTGCACACAGAATGGTATTGTCTCTGTGACTGCATACAGTAGCCAACACCATATTGATTGTCTTGATGTGTTGCTATGCCAACCCTACAAGTCTCAGCTCGGTATTGCTGCAGCTCATTCATTAAACCAGGGAAAAGTCATATTGATTTGTATAGACTGGAAAATTAGGGGGGAAATCAGTTTTACTTTAGAATAGAAGTGTAATATTGTAAAACAATCTCCCATTTTTCACTTGACAATAACATCCATATAGTGTATGATTTGTAATATCATATGGAAAATTAGGGGGGAAATCAGTTTTACTTTACAATAGAAGTGTAATACTGTAAAACAATCTACCATTTTTCACTTGACAATAACATCCATATAGTGTATGATCTGTAATATCATATGGATACTAACATGATCTCTTTGTATTGATGCAAGATGAAAATTAATGAAACCAGGAATTACAGGAAATACACAGAATTTTATAACCTATGGATAGGTGCATGTGTAAATATAAACCTATTTTGTAATTTGATACCAGTAATGATTTCTTTGCTTCTCAATTTTTCGGCTTGAAACAGAACTTCCAAATTACTAGTAATATGATTTCAAGATTTTCTTATGGCAAGAAATATCTTAAAGTTTAAAAATAAATCAAGTTTCCTAAGAAGAACATATTTGATTAACAACATATTCCATTTTTAGCTTTAAATTGTTGCCAATATTAGCTTACTGTAAGTAAAATGCATTTCTGTGTGGGTGGGAGGCTTGTCTTTCTAATAATATTTCACTGAATGACATCTGAATATTAGCATTATTGCTATAAAAGACTGAAAGGTCGAAGAATTATCATGAGCTGCAATCAATTAAATAAACATGAGCAATTGGTGAAAGAAAAACTAGTCATACCAACCAGCACAGCTGTACACATTGGCAGACATCATCAATGATGATTAGAAATGAAACCTATAATATACATTATGTACTGTACTGTATTCATTAATCATCAGATATATAAAATACTTGTTTGTTGATTTATTAGCACACAATTAAACATCATGTGTATATTTATGTAAATCATTATATCCATTATTTAAAGACACAGCAAATACATACATCTTAAATAGTCAAAAATACAGTTATTATGTAATCATAACGCTTAAAAGCGTCATCCAAAAAAATAAAAGCTCCAAGAACAATAGATTGGTTTGTATGAACAGATTCAATATTACATAAAGATGTCAGTATGAAATCAATAGAAAGCATTGTATACTTGATCCACACAAATACCATTTCGACCCCAAAATAGACAAACAAGTCATTTAATGTTTCAATCCTTTATTTATAAGACAAGTTTTAAAATCCCTTTAAACTGATTGAATCCAAGTTGTGAGATTATCTATAGTTTTGATTTCTTAATTATATGTTAAGAGATCAATTTAAGTACATTTTAGCTTGGATTAAGCCTTGATAAATTAGATATTGTCTGAAAAATTAAATTGACGATCTGCAGCTTTAAGCTGTTGATAAAAGTTTGGATTGATAATGTTCGTAAATTTGAATAGATGTAAGATAATAAATCACATATTATACAGTACAATACAATCTGTCAGAGAAACTATACACACGTCTTAATAAATATATGTAAATGTACCGAAATAACCCTTTTATATAAGAGATATTTTCCTACAAAATAATTTCTACCAAAACAATCGTTAGCTACATGTACATGTACTATGTGTGAACTTTTTTAATCAGAGTTTCAAGAAAGAGTAACTATTCCTTACATCAAGTCTTTTCTTTGGTAAAAGAAAAATTCAGATTATCCATTCCAGACTTCGCAACTGTAAAAGTACTCTCAAGATATCTCAATTGATCAAGGGCCATAACTTGGGCAGTAATTATCGGAAATTGTTGAAAATCAATACTCTGGCAGTAATAGGCGTCTTCACCTTATGACCTTAAACACTGTGTATAAATTTAAAAGCAATCGAATATTACCTTCAGCCTCTAGAACATCCACAAGATTTTTCAAGATAATCAAAGGCCATAACTCTAGCAGTAATTATCAGAAATTGTTGAAAATCAATAGGTTTCTTCATCTCATGACTGTAATTTAAAATCTATCGGATAGTAATTTTAGCCCCTAAAGCATCCACAAGCAATTGTTGACGACGGACGGATGGGGACGAGCCCGGACGACAGCAATATAGGACCACATATTGGGCTTGTTTGTTTGCTTGTCCAGGACATATCTCCAACACAGCTGCCTTTTTTTTGACCAGACTTGTGTGGTATGTCACATCTACATGTATTTGTGAGCTTGATATTTTTTCTGCCATGGCAACCCATAAACCAATTTTTTAAAAGTGTAGGTTTTTGCAGGATAGGAGCTGCAGTCAGGGCTTGTCTTTAATAGTGGGCTGATAAAAATCATATGGTATGTCAAAGGTGATAGGAAAGGATAAAAATAAGTCTTTGTTCTATTGAACAATGGATCAGATTCCAGATTTCATTCATTATGCTTTTGGCTATGAAAAAAGGACAGTTGTTATGAAATGGCTACTTGAATGTAGGTTACGGTATTATACATGTTTATATTGATAATAAATAATCATATTGAGAATAGTGTTGTTTCGAATGACTGGGAAATCAATGATAATGCATAGTCAAAAAGATGATGTTGCAAGGCTGTCATCCTCAGAACAGCAACAGCTGTCACTACATTTTCACCCAGTTAGTCAAATTTCAGAAATCTGTTACACTACCCTCTCAGATTTTAAACTGAGACATATAGATTAAATTGTAAAAGCTCACTTCACTATAGAAGAAACCTTATTGCATAAAAAAAACTTACAAGGTTATGTGCATATATGAATAATAAGAATCCAAAAATATACATGAAACAAACAAACATACATATCATGAATTTAAAATACAGATGTGACGTCATCCTTTGATGTTGGCGTACCATTATTTCTACTAGATGAAATTGTGGAACTGCGTGACTATTTCATTGCTGCAAAGCACATGCAAGTGTCTGTATTTTAAGTTGTTTAATGGTCGTGAGCTTAAGACATTGTGTAATATATTAAACCAACAGCACGGGACTCACGTCCCTCGTGTTGTTTCAACATATAATTAAAAGCCTCTAAACATTTTAAAATATCTACATTTTTATTCATCATCAGTATTTTAAATTGTTGGAAATCATTCAAGTATATCAAAATTTCAATAATTTGCTTGCGCGTAGGGGTCTCTAGCAGCGGGAGGAAGAAAACCCACGAGGCTGGACAGGCAGCCCTACTCCTTGTCACATACAACCGTGGAATTGAAACCACGCCAGTTGACACAATAACAGACCTTATAATACAACGTGCACATGCTAACCAATCGGACACCCAACACCCCCCCCCCCCTTCATGAAATAAAATTAATCTAAACAGTTCATTTCTTCTTGTGGATGCCCTAGAGGCTGAAGTTAATATTCAATTGTTTTTAAATTTATACACAGTGTTTAAGGTCATGAGACAAAGAATCCTATTTATTTTCAGCGATTTCCAATAATCACTGCCAGAGTTATGGCCATTGATCACCCTGAAAAATCTAGAGGCTAAAGTTATCATTCGATTGACTTTAGATTGATACACAAAGTTTAATGTCTTGAGACGAACAAGTATATTGATTTTCAATGAATTTTGATAACTTGAACATGATATTAATATTTTGTATACTAAACATTAGCATGGCGCAGAACTTTTATAAAAGCCAAACAAATTCTAATGATTTTCTGATAATTACTTAATGAGTTGTTACTCTTAATCAGATTTTAGTGTACCGGTATTACAAATGTTTAATTACCGAAAAAAGTAAAAATATGTGACAACTCTTGTCGAGTGCCCGAGCGATTTAGCTGCAATGGGCATATCTTTTGTTGCCTGGCTACCTATCTTTTATATTTGCATAGTTCCATCTATTTCTTTATTAAACATGCATTATGCTAGAGCTAAATCTGCCTATTGCAGGTCTTTCTTTAGGCCTGAAATGTTTTCTAAAGTATTCATTAGGCATTAATTAACTGATCCAGGCCTTAATCAACTCTCGATGGCATCAGATTTATCCGATATTAAATAGATTAGAATGGTTCAGCGATACTTTGATTTAATCAAATATGGAGGACCGAGACTTAGCTTCGATCAACCAGTACGGTGGTTGAAATTATTGCACACGTCTGTCAAACCTTCAAAGGCTAATATCTTCGCTTGCAATAGAGTAATTTGAATGAAATTTTCAAATTATTCATTTTACTTTATCTACTTTCGAACTATTATAGCAAGAATGGCTAGTTCTTTATCTAAATCTTACATAATGTATCTTTAATATTTTTTTTTTTTTTTTACAATAAATTATTAAAATATGTTTTAATAAATGAAAACAAGCTGTATCTCCCTTCTGCATGCATATTTTTAGTCTTGTTAAGTTTAGAAGGTAGTTTTTTAATTCATACATATTTTTTTTTGTGCTAAACTTCTAATAAAGCTTTCATTTGGCGGGCATCCTATTTGTTCAGGTACAGCTACTTTTTCTGTTTGTTTCTAAGGCATACTAACATATGGTTCAATTTTACTTCAGATTTTTACGAAATTCTAACTCAACCTTCATTGATGTGTAACAGTGATGTATTAAAACGTTTCTTAATATTGAATACAAATTGTGACTTCTAGCGGGTCCAAAAGCTAAAAATGCGATTTTTCGAACAATCAGGTTACGTTCGGATATGCGCTATTAACAAAAGGAAACAAGATCTTTGTGATATAAAGATAAATTTAAGGTATCATCAAAATCAGATAAAAATTGTGACCTCTAGAGGGTCCACAACCTTCGTATTACATATTTTTACACTATTTGTGTACGAAGGGCGGCCATTTTGTCCAGCAGTTTTGGTCTGATTTTCCCGAAATTCAAACTCAGCCATCATTAGGGTGTAACAGTGATATATTTAAACGATGTTTTTAAATTGGATAAAAATTGTCACCTCTAGAGAGAACACAATCTAAAAACGTGATTTTTCATACAATCAAGGGCCATAATTCAGGAAGTTACTATTCAATATGCGTGAATATCGACGGGAACCAAAATCTTTGGAATATAAACCAGTACACGTATTTCAAGTTTCATCAAAATTGGATCAAAATTGTGACCTCTAGGATCCACAACCTTGATATACCATATGTTTAAACTATTTGCGTATGAGGGGCGGCCATTTTGTCCAGCAGTTTTGGTCCGATTTTTACGAAATGCAAACTCAACCGACATTACGGTGTAACAGTGATATATTCAAACGTTTTTTTTTAATTTGGATAATAATTCTGACCTCTAGAAGAACCACAAGCTTAAAAGGTGATTTTTCGTACAATCTGAAGCCATAATTCAGGACGTTACGATTCAATGTGTGCGAATATCGAAAGAAACCAAGATCTATGGGTTATAAACATGCATTTCAAGTTTTATCAAAATCAGATGAAAATTGTTACCTCTACTAGAGTGTCCCTAAGCTAAAAACATGATTTTTTGTACAATCAGGGACCACAATCCATGAAGTTATTGTCCAATATATGTCAATATCGAAAGGAACCAAGATCTTTGGGAGATAGACCTATATTTTAAGTTTCGTCAAAATCGGATAAAAATTGTAACATGTATAGTGTCCACAAACAAATGTGAACGGACACACAGATGGACGGACAAAAAGTAGAGGTACAGTGTATGTGTGCGTATAAAAAGTAGAAGTCCCAAATGGACTCCCAATACAGATCCTTGTGGAACACCTATTGTAACAGCACAGGGTTGAGACACAGACCTGTTTATTTGCACCTGTTCTGTTCTATGTTGAAGATATGACTTTATCCATGACAGTGCGCCACCACAGATTCTAACTGAACATATACATGTTGACAAACACTGATCACACTTTCATTCTTCCTGTAGCTTCAACATGTTGTCTGTTATTCATGATACATTTACTTGTTGGGATAGAATACATTTCTATTGATTGTTTTTGGATTTAGATCTATATATATTGATAAGTCAACCTGCATACAACTGCTCTCTTGATCTTCATAACTTCTGATACATTCAATTCAAAACCAGCTGTTGTGTTATGGGATACATATATATTCTGTAGGTCATTGAATTCTGAATTACCCGTAATATCTTTTCAAACTCCTACATGTATACTATTACCGTGTTTAAAATGCCAGTATGGTACTCAATATGAACTATAATCAGTTTCAGTTTTTAGAATATTCAAGTGAAATGACTACCAGTACAAAATAATCAAGCTTCTTTGTCTTTATCCAGACAAACACTCTGATCTACCTATATACAAATCTCTATCTGTTTTTGTTTTTTTCCTACTAGTACTATAGTAATTGCAAGAATCGTGATATTTTGATCTTAAAGTGTAAAGAGATAGCTCTAGAGATTGCCCATACAATTATAATGCATTCAAGTAAAATATTTGTGATCTAGCAATATCTGACATGAAGTAAAGGTGTCAAACTTAAGATCTACTGATATTTAATCTAAACAAGAAAGTTGTAATAAACCTATCAAAGTCACTGTCAGAGTCTGAAATTCTGATGTGTGTTAAACTACCTACTGGATGTTGAAATGATCAGCATCCAAGTCAAAATTTAAAGATTGGCAATTCAAGGCAAGAAGGTTATGACATTCTTATTGTGAAATAAAACTACACGTACATGTAAAAGTCATATGAAAATTGTCAAATTGTCTTTATTGCTTAATCTACTGATGGAATTCATTGATTTATGGTAGTTTGACTGTTGGCTCATGTTCTATTATTAATTAAATGAATTTCCTAGTCAACATGAGTCTACCATTACATTCTTCAATCTAAAAGTCAAATCATTATTTCCTAAAATTTAGTGTATCTCCAGAAGAATACTGCTGTAAAGACAGGGGCAGATTTTTTTTTCATTGTCATTCACCCTCTCCACCTCCATTCATCGATATTGATGCTTATTACAATGCAAGTAGGTTAGCAGAAAGGAAGTGCAAATGCAAAATACCATTAAAATTCTTTTCATTCTAACCAAAAACTTGTAAAAATATAATATATAACAATATGACTCTACATGTACATACAATGTACGTGTATTCAAAAGGTACATGCATCTATTTCTGAAAAAGAAATTCTTTCAAAACTTACCTCTCTATCATTATCTCCAAAGTTAATGTTGAGTGTGCTCATGGCGCGGATAATGGCAACAAGGGACTGTATAGTATTGCTGTACACCACAGGTTTAAATTGTTTATTATCCTCACTGGTAAAACCACCTTCATGAATAATTCTGTAAACAAATAAAATGATTAATTAATTGATTGGTTGATTGATTGGTCATTTGATATCTCCATTTCAATTTATAAAACCCCAATAAGAATAGAAAACATAACTGAGAAAATGATGAGCAATCTACATGTATAAGACATGTTTCACTAGGATAACTTTTAACACCAAGAAGTCTTGTTTTGAGTTCAAAATGGCATTTGTCCGGGTAATTTGCTTCAATTTTAAAAAAGAAAGGTTGCTAGACAATAAACCATACCCACAGTAGCTATGTTGTCTAAGATTGTCACTTTGGTAATTGGTGTAGCCATACTAACAATAAAATAAAACCAAGTACTTGTCTGTGATAACCCTATTGGTGTTAGTGGAGTTAAACACAAATAGAAGAAGAAATACAATATTTTCTTTAATCACCATTAGTGGGTGGAGCTTCTCAATAAAAGATTTCTTATGCAATAATCTAGAATTATTTTCTTTTATTCAAACTTTTTGGTTCAAATATAACACAAACATTCTGGGTATTATCAAAGTGAGCGCAGATTTAAAATACATTTGACATGGTCTACAATGTTTTAGACATATGTTATCACATTATTTTTACTGTATGTAATGTTTATTGTGAAAACAAATTAATAAATATTTATAACACATGTATAATGGTTAATAAAGATTCAAATTCAGTCCTATCAAAAAACTATTTTTACACGATTACCATTTATAAGCAGTTTAAGTATAACCGAGTGGTGTGACAGTAAAATCAAAACTCCCACTCATGTAGTGTGACACAAGTAATAGATTTCAATATTGAATAGGATAAATAAAGTACAGGGACAGATTTAATGGAGCAATGCCAAATCTATTTTACATGTCAATTCATCTTACCCTCAAACTTCCTGTCCGGGCTGAGGCAGGGTTACCAGATACACTCCTAAATATGAACTGTGGTAATCTTAAAACTTTGTGTCTTGAACCCCTTGCTAATGTTAATCTGGCACTATGATGGCACTACTTTGTTCACAAGAAAGGTCGCTCCGGTTGTTGATTTTCAGATACAGAGAGAGAGAGAAATGGGGTTTAATGTCCACTCGACACAAACTAGGTAATTTTGGGACCAACACATGGTTTAAAGTCATTTCAATAATTTGCTTGCGCGTAGTGGGTCTTTAGCCTTGGGAGAAAACCGGAGGAAACCCGCGAGGTAGGACAGGCGACCCTACTCCTTGTCACATACAATCGGCGAATTGATTTTCAGATAACTGTCTATAAAGTTCATATAAAATGAACATATATTTGTAGCAGACACATGGAGTAAGAGAAAGACTACCGCGATGGATTTAGTCCACCACGGATCAGAATAACAAATTATGACACGACAAACACTTCTAGATATGGCTGTTGAAAAAGGTTCGCCTTCATTATACTATCTGAAGCTACCAGCAATACTAGTCTAGAACTGCTTCACAGAAATCAATATTTTACACGGCTTCTAAAAATAGCCTCTGCAGCATTCAGTACTATACACTTTCCCAGTTTGAACAGAGAACTGTCTATTAAATACGACACAGTTGGAGAAAGGCCTACAGGACGGCATTATTGAAAGCTAGATCTGAAGTCATCATCATTGCAACAGTCTATTATACTATGGTACACTGTTGTCGTAATTAATTTATTTCAAAACAATCTGTATTTTTTCGTAATTGTAGTAGGGTGTTATATTCTCTTTAAATATTTTAGTAGAGTGTTATATTCGATTTAAATATTTTAGCCAGTTTCCACTGTCCTGTGTATTCAGCTAGTCTTTTATTTCCAGTGGTTATAATTACTTTAGTTTATAGTTTAAAGATGCTATTTTAAGATAGGGAGTAGATTTCAGTATCTTAGAAACCTGGGGCCTGTTTCACGAAATTTTAACTAAGATAAAATCCAAATTTTAGTAATTTGATTGGATAATATTACATTGATTTTAGTGCTTAGCCAATCAAAATTGAAGTACATGTATCTACTAAAATTTGGATTTTATCTTTATTTAAAATCTCGAGAAACAGGGCTCTGCTTAGCTGATCTTGGTTACTAACTTCACTCTCTTATGATCTGTTCAACTTTCAACATCTTTTCTGAGTTACAGCACAATTAAGTATTAGCAAGTTAATATAATAGAAACTAGACAACTTTATATTTCATAATTAAATATAGTATCCCCTGTGTGTAATGTCTTGTTAATTGTGATGTCTAATTATTTTATAGTGTTCCTAATTGTGTTGTCCATAAAGTGCACAACTCTATGGTCCTATTTATTTGCCTGGAAAGCACCTGTCTTAGGGTATGTTTGATATATATCTGTATTTATATCTTCGTTATAACTGATAAAATGTAAATAGATAATGTTTATATTTTAATACACAATATAGTAGGCCTACTTATATTATAACTTGATTTTTGATCTATTAGTGATTAGTAGAATATATCCATCATTTAATAATTGAATATGGCATGTTCTGTTCACTCAATGTAAATAATCATTTTGTATCTTTTCAGTATTTTTGTGTAAAGTGTATATATTGTCCCGAAATAAACTGTTGTGTTATTAATTCGTCTCGACTGTTTATGTGCAACCCCGGCCTGGAGTAGATCATGCGATCCTCCTGCTACATAATGCTAAAACGTTACGGGAATAAAGAGGTTTGGTTGAATGGAATTGGTACATGTAGGCTAAAAGGAATCTCAGTTCACAACTCTCATTCACTCTGAATAAGAAAACATATACGAAATATAAAATCTTGTAAACCGAATGGACGAATGGGTGCCACGAAATCACGGCTCAATTTATACAACGATACCGCCAACTCAAAACAGTCTTTGTTCATTGTGTCAAAGTGTTAATGTGTTTCCCGATCGCTAAATGTCACTTAAAGATTGTGTTATGCTAATTATGAATTTTGTATATGCACATGTATGCTGAACGTTTTGGTACAATTTATCAATTGTATCTTTCGGAATTACACTGTATATTTCTGCAACAGTGGGGAATAACATGCACGCAAATTAAGACTTTCGACCTCACCTTACCTACAAAGGACGGTCAATCTTCGTTTACCGCTGTGGAAGAAACCATGAGGCTATCCACTGGTCTTAGAAAATGTCCCAGTGGTCGAGCATATTTCAATAATTCGCTTGCGCGTTGTGGTCTTTAGCAGAGGGAGGAAACCGGAGGACCGGGGACTCATGGTTACAAAAATGAAATGAAATGAAATGGGGTTTAACGTCCTACTGTTTTGCTCCGAACTGGGCTAATGAAGACGGGCATACGCCATACAGTGTGCTATGAGGGAAATTTTGCCTGGACAGCGGCACTACGGCCTACTCTTATATCGAATTCCAACTGTCAGGGGATCTTTTACGTGCACGCCAATGTGTACACGGGACCTCGGTTTTTCGTCTCATCCGAATGACTAGACAGCAGTCCTTGTCAGGTCCTCCGTCCTGCATCACTGGCAAGGGGAAACCACGCCGGAAAATCTGGATGAACTTTCTCGGCCAATGCAGGGATCGAACACCCGACCTCCAGGCTAGCGAGCCAGCGCCTTACCCACTTAGCCATCGTGATCCCCCCCCCCCCTCATGGTTACAATGCATCACGGTAAAATTGGCCGTTTAAAATTGTTCAAGTTGGTTCAAACCAAGGGGAATGCTCACTAGACCGCGGGTTCATTAGTCCACCGATATCTATTATAGGGGTCGGGTTAGGGTTAAGGTACACTAGTCCGTGGGTTCATTAATCCATCAATATCTATTATCAGGGATAGGGTTCGGATTATGTTTTTTGATACCCATATTTATAGTATTTCTTATAGCGGCGGACTAGTGAACCCCTTTCCAAACCAAGCAGGGGTCATAACCCATGCAGAAAGTTACTTTTCGATGCGCGCCAAACTCGAGCTCATCTAAGGTCTTTTGGTCCACATATTTCAATATTTATCTAAATCTGACAAAAATCCATTGTGTGCCTATGCAAATGGATTTCGTGAGTCCTTCTAAATGTAAGTACCTCGAGTTTCTCCTTGAGATCTGAATTCCACCATATCTTTGTAGACCAATCCATATTTTACTTATTTCTTACCAAATAGATACACCTCCACGGCACTCAGTTTTTATATTTTAAATAAACAATAAATATAACAGAAACTGTCGGTTAACCGGAATGTCGTACGATTTGTCTATATGCCTACTTCGTGGGTTCAGGCCCACTAAACAATACCAATTCATTACTTTCTTACTTGCATAAACATTCGATAAGATCTTTGTGTGTCTAATTTTCTGAAAATAATATTGTCTTCTTCACCGTACCAAATGATGGAAACGAAAAGCGTAGAAATACGCCCACACAGTAGCATTGTCTATATGCCTACTTCAGGGCGGCCCACTAAAAAAATACTAATTTCATTATTTTCTTACTTGTATAAACATTCGATAAGATCTTGGTGTGTCTAATTTTCTACAAATAATATAAGTCTTCTTCACCGTACCAAATAATGGAAACGAAAAGCGTAGAAATACGCCTACAGAGTAGCTGTGAATATTCGCTAGGGCTTTCGCAGTACCTCTGTGAAACAGATCATAGCTGTGTCTCGAAAAAAAAGATGACCATAGCCAGTAGCTTATCCGAAATTAAGACTTGGATGTTAACCAAATTTGATAAGGATCCTTTATGCGTTCAGGAAATTGAATCTCCAATGTGTCCACATGCCTTTCCGGACACGTAATATATTTCTGGAACAGAAAATCCTGGAAAGCCGAAACAAGGCTCATATTCTCCGATAAAATAATATAAGCTTCACATGAAGGTCGTGGAACGCTAAAACTCGATATAATTTAGACGCTCGCGAACGCCGGGACAGAGGGTAGCGGAACGTTGAATATCGATAAGGTTTGCCCTGCATGGACCTAATGATTTACACCAGATCGGACAAAAATCTGTTATTGTTAAGACTGTAAGGTGGTTATCTC